TTTTTAATTTGTTGTGGTTTTTTAATTTGTTGTGGATTTTTAATTTGTTGTAGATTTTTAATTTGTTGTGGATTTTTAATTTGTTGTGGTTTTTTAATTTGTTGCGGATTTTTAATTTGTTGCGTTTTTTTTAATTTGTTGTGGATTTTTAATTTGTTGTGGATTTTTAATTTGTTGCGGTTTTTTAATTTGTTGTGGATTTTTAATTTGTTGCCGTTTTTTAATTTGTTGCGGATTTTTAATTTGTTGCGGATTTTTAATTTGTTGCGCTTTGCACTTCCCAGCCACCGTACTTTTGTCTGAGGAGGGATTGAAGAAATTCAGAGCAATTGTTAAAATAAAACAGTCACATAGATCCAGTCTGTTTTCATTTGGTTTTAGATCCACATAATGGCATTGCAGATGCAGCACTTGTGGGACAAATCTTAAAACAAAAACAAAAAAAACAGTGACATTTCCAATGCAAACAATTATATTCACTGTTACATTTGTCATTATGTGCGTCCCAGGATACTAATTAAGCACTTTTTACCCTTTTTATTAAGTTTGTATATTTCAATGAAAGCCACCAAAATGTTCCAGTTGTATGAATTATAGGATGCAGGTTTTACTTACTTCATGATATAAATCCTGCGCAACTGTGTAGTCACACTCAAAGCGAACACGTTTTTATTATTAAATGAGAAACCACACAAGGTTCAGCAAGGTTAGCGACCTACGACAAGCTTGTATAGGCTTCACCATCAGTCGTCATTCTGCAGTGTAGAGGAGACTGGGTGTACATTTTTTCTCTTTTTTATGCCGATTTTGTTTTTTTACATGCACAATACCATCAAAGCATAAATAAAATGTGTTTAAAAAACATCAGCTTTCCCAACGTGTAGGTGGAGTGGACACTGCTCTTTCGGCTGTTCTCCAAACACCAGCAGTACTTCAGTGTGACCAGAAGGAGGCGCACTTAGTGTATGTTTGAATACCCCATCTGTCTACAGCAGTAAAACTGTTATTGTTAAATGACATTAACAGTGTGCTGTTAATAGTGTCCTGAGCTGAATAACTGTATTACAAAGTGGCGAAAGTAATATACCATCTCTTTACTGAAGTAAAAGGTAGAAGTCATTTTACAAAACAATGTTCAATATTTAGACAATATTACAGCTACTTTATGAACTTATTACTACGTATTAAAATTATCTTAAGGCAATTTAACTCTTTGTAAAAAAAAATATACCTTTCAGTTATAAATTCTCTCTGTTCAACACATCATTGACTCCGTCTGTTAGGTTCAAAGTCAGCTTTGAGTAGCTTTTGTAAATAAACTATGCCTCCACCAACCCAGTCGATACTTGATCAAACTGCAATCTGGGTCTTTTGGATACTGGGTTAATAGCTATGGATCTTTGTCATGTTCATGCAGTTTTAATCGTTTTTGAACTGGGAGAGGTCCAGTGCCCTGCTGTGGAGCGTGGGGAGGGTAAATCTTAAACATAGAGTGCATCCAGAAAGCATTCATGGATCTTCGCTTGCTCCACATTTTTTCATGTTACAATCTTATTCCAAAATGGATTTAAATCATTTTTCACCTTAAAAATTGTACACACAGCAACGACAAAGTGAAAAAAGCTTGCTTAAAATTGTTGCAAATGTATTACTAAAAAATTACACTCACACTTACAAATATTATATATGCATATATATATATATATATAGGCAGACACATGTATTTTGGGGGAGTTTCTCCCATTCTTCTTCGCAGAACCTCTCAAGCTCTATCACATTGGATGGGGAGCATCGGTGCATGGCCATTTTCAGGTAGACTGGATTCAAGTCTGAGCTCTGGCTGAGGCACTTAGCCTAAAAGACATTAGGCTAAGGCACTAAAGGACATTCACAGAGTGGTCCCAAAGCCATTCTTTGTTATCTTGGCTGTGTTAAGGGTTGTTTGTCTGTTAGAAGCTAGATCTTCACCACAATCTGATGTCCAGAGTGCTCTGGAGCAGGGTATCATTAAGGATATCTCTGTACATGGCGACATTCATCTTTCCCTTGACCCTTACTGGTCTCCCAGTTCTATTTTGCAAGGACTAGAAATACTTGTGTGTATTTCCATTTTGGTTTTTGGGACGGTCATTTACTAATTTTGTGTGTAGAATTTTGAGGTGAAAAATTAATTTAATCCATTTTTGAATAAGCATGACATGTAACATGACAAAATGTGGAACAAGTGAAGCTCTATGAGCACGAACTCTGGATGTGCTATAATCCACATAAATGACCAAAGATTTTCAAGCAAAACATTGCATTGGAACAAGATGATCTATTGGATTCACCTATAGGGCCAGAGGCAGGGTACACCCTGGACAGGCCGCCAGTCTGTTGCAGGGCTAACAGAGACAGACAACCATTCACACCTATGGGCAATTTAGAGTTCCCAATTCACCTAACCCCACTTACTGCATGCCTTTGGACTGAACCTTCTGACAAAATTTTAAAAACAAATTAAATGTTAACTTGCATATAGGAGTGTGAATTTGCATCATGTTTGCTACATCAGGCAATTTATTCCTTAAAGATGTAGAATGCAGTTTATTTTGTTTTGGGTGGGGGTGAGACTTTTACACTGTGGAAGTCACAAAAGCTCAGGTATCAAATACACTTGGTTTTAAAGAGTCATGGAGACCTTGCCAGGATTGGGTTGAACCCCCTTTATGTCTTTTTAATTGACTTAATTCTTCATGGTACAGATCAAACAAACATTGAATCTATGCCATGGAAACATTCCTCAGAGATTTTGGTCCATATTGACCCAAACTGATAGCATCCTGCAGTTGCTGCGGTTTTGTCAGATACATATCCATGTCCTGAATCTGTCGCTCCATTGCATCCAAAGGTGCACTATTAAATTGAGATCTGGTGATTGTGGAGACCACCTAACACAATGAACTCATTGTCACATTCAAGAAACCAGTTTGAGATAATCTGTGCTTTATAACATGGTGTATTATTACACTGGAAGTGGTCATCAAAAGATGGATAAACTGTGGCCACAAAGGGAACAATGCAGCAACAATGCTTAGTAGGTTGTGCCCCAACCTACAAAAGACCAAAAAACGTTAAGACACTAACAATTTAGTTGAAACATCTTCTATCATGAAACTATTAACCACGGGTTCCTTATTTCCTCTAATAAATGTAAGCTTTAAACCCTTTAAATCAGAACATATACAGCCCATGAATGTGTGAAATATCTTGCTCTGTTCTAGCATTAACCTGACATCTCTAATTGTATCCCGTCATCGAGTTTGCCTGGTGTTTCTGACAGTGTGACTGTCCATCAGATTTGGCATTCTGACACCACATCTCCTTATTGTAAAAAACCATCCCAGCAGTCAAGTGGTTAAAGTGTTCGACTAACCTGCATTAAGGCCTGTATGCAGGCCTGTTTCTGGCAGGAAAAAAACAAAACACTAAAATGTGAGGAATAATTAGAAATAAATAACTGAAATATCTAAAAATCACATCCAAGTGGAAACTATTAAATGCAAAAATATTCAAGGGAAAACAAATGTCTACAATCATGAAAAAGAAAGTACACCCTCTTTTAATTCTAAGAAATAAATAATTAGCAGGTACATACCAGGCATTAAAATTAGGTAAATACAGCCACTGATTAACTAGCAAAATATGACATATACAGTGTCACTATTATTTATTTTCCACATTGTGGAACATTGTATAAAAAGCTAAGTACACCCCACGGTCCCATAGGTTGTAGAACCACATGCAGCAGCAATGACTGAAAGTAATTGTTTTGTTTCTGAATATTAGCCTCTTACATCATTGTGGAGAATTTTGGCCTACCCTCCTTTACAATGTTGCTTCAGTTCATTGAGGTTTTCAGGTGTTCATTTATATACCACTCTCTTAAGAGTGCCACATTATTTCAACTGGGTTGAGGTCTGTACCTTGATTCTTTTGTTTTTTGCCATTCTGTTGCTGTGCTTTTTACCATTGTCTTTTTTCATGACCAAGTTTCAACCAAGCATGATGGTTGAGCAGAAGGCCTATAATGATTTCAGATGGAATGCCCCTGCTGGACATCAGTTCGATTTTATTTATATAGCTCCTCATGGCACATTCTACAGTAAACGAAACACCCTACAATAATTAAAAACAAACAAACAAACAAACAAACACACACAGAACACCCCAACAATCGTAGGACCCTCGTTGAGCAAGTGGTTTGGTGATAATGGGGAGGAAAAATTCCCCTTTAACAGGAAGAAAAAACTGTCAGAAACATGCTCACAACCAGTTGGGGTGAGGGGAGGAAAACAAAATGAGGACATGCTGTAAAAGACAGACAGAGATTAATAATAACTAAGGATTAAATGCAGATTGGTGCATAAACAGAATAATAAGGTGAGTGAAGAAGAAACAAAGGAAAAAAAATGCATCATGGGAAGCCCGCAGACGCCTAGGAATATTGGAATATAACTAAGGAAGGATTCAGATTCACCTGATTCAGCCCCAACTATGTGCTTTTTTTAAAAAGGAAAGTTTTAAGCTTAATTTTAAAAGTGGAGAGGGCTCCAAAACTGAGCTGGTTTCACAGAAAAGAAGCCTGAACCCTATGAAACAGGATATTGAAAGAAAGCTGTCCTATATATTTGTTTAATGTGCACATTTAAGGATCTATCCTAGTCAAAAATGACTTACAGATTCCTCACAGTGTTACTGGAAGACAAGGTAATGCCACCCAGAGTAAGCATACGTGTATAATGTAAACAGAAGTGGTTCTAGCATGGAACCATGTGGAACTCCATAATTAACCTTAGTGTGAGAAGAAGACTCCACTTACATGACCAAATGGGAGCATATTAGACAGATGATTCAAACCACCGCAGTACAGTACCTTTAATATCTACATCATGCACTAAATGTTGTAATAAAAAATAAAATATATTATGGTCAACAGTATTAAACGATCCACTGAGGTCTTGCAGGACAAGCAGAAATCATTTAATATGTAACAGGAGACTTTAGCTGTCATCTTTACTGTACAGCAAGTAATTATCAAAAAAAAGCCAGACTTACCAAACAGTCAGTTATTAAAAATAGTAAAATGCATTATAAGATTGGAGTTATGCCCAGTAATACATTTATTGCACTGTTTTACCTGTACAAGCTAAAAACCTTGAACGTGTGAGTATAAATATTATGACTCGAGTCAGGCATTCAGCAGTCACCCTTGGTTTTTGTAACTGGGATGTGATAAGCACGAGGTGGATGTGACTGAGAACCTGAAGGAACTCGTGCATTTTCTCAGAGTGGACAGAACCAGATTTCTTGGAACCAGTGGAAAAGGCTCCTGCTAACAATTTAAGAAGAGCATCTTTAAGGCACTTTCATGGCTTGGCTTCATTTTGAAAACTTATAACATCATATACAGTCTATAGCAAGGTGCAGATATGCTAAATGTCAATAATAGTTAAACCTTGTGTGGACTCCAGTCAAAACTATAGATAAACAAAGTAAATTAAGAGAGAGTCATCCTTTGGAAATGGCTTAGACATCTTAGTGGCTTTCTTGACCTTTTCCTGCCTGCTTGAGGAGACCTTTGAATCTTTTTTTTTTCTTTTTGTACAGGATTGTGAGTCAGTCTTCAACTTTTTTTTGCTTTATGCAATTAATGTTATATTAGGACCAATTAGATGGACCTGTAGGGTCCACAGCTCATTTACTGGTCTGAGCCCCTAGAGGCCTATATAGTGTACAGAGGTTGAAGAAGCTTCTGACCATATCACACCTCATTCCTGTAAAAACAAATACATTTCTTCCATCTTAATTACTTGTGACATAGTTACTTATATATACACAGTAAACATAATGACTTGTGTTTTACTTGTAGAGTTTACTGTAAATGCACCTCTCAGATACCAAAATCAACCAAAAAGCTGTCACAATGTGGAAACTTATACATGCACATTTAGTGCAGAAAATTATTTATATTTAATCATAAAGACTGAAAATGTACAAAGACCTGGAAACAATTTTGAGTATATACAAATCAGTTCATTGTTACAAAATAACCCTTAAAAACACACTATCATTCAAAGAGCTAAAAGATTAAAAACTTATCACTTTCTGTTGATTTAGCAATCTGATAATCTTCGCCCTCCTCCATCAAGCCTAAAGACAGAACAATCAAGGTGAACAGAGAAGCTCTGAAGACACAGGCTGCATTTTCAGGGCTATGAACTTAACAATCAGCTTTATAACAGCATCTCCACTGTATCCCTGTGTGAAAGACATAAGCTGAGAGGAATAGAGGGAGACATATAGGTGCTTCTAACCAACCTGGAAGTATTATTATTAACACACAGGCAGTCAAAAAAAATGTCAACCAAAAACACCAGAGAGAACCCAAGGAGCAGCAGGACAAAGAATTAAGGAAAGATAGCCCTGAAGATAAACACCACTTTGGAAAGTAGAAAATAGAAATTAAGGCCTCAAGAGAAAAAGCATTAACCTTGCATATAACCATTATCTCCCCATTTTAACAGTACAACAGCCCATCTGCTGTTCTATCTCTATGCAGTCACTCTGGCAGAGAAATGTGCATGCATGCGCACATGCACGCACGCTCTCTCTCTCTCACACACACACACACACACACACACACACACACACACGTGTGCGCACAAACGTACACACGCTCTCACACAGCCCCTGAGAGAGGTTAGTGTCATCCTGCTGCTGAACTGCTCTGCTAACTCGAGAACAGCATATTGCTGCTTTCACATTACGTTTGAAAGCGCAGACTCCTAAACTGAGAATTTCAGCTCGACACCTGACTTTAGAAAAAACTTGGGACAATGCTAAGTAACTTTCATTGGATGTAGTATGGGGAGGCCTGGATGTGAATGTAGCAACATGCTGTCCTACAGTCAATATCATACAAATGATTTAACACCTAGAGCATTCAGTGCTGTATAGCGTACACTCCATCAATTTACACATTGCCTTTCTCTTGATAGTTGAGAAAAAAAATCCACCCATAGAAAATGACATCACAACCCAGACTGGACTGTTCTTGCCAGTATTCACCAGAAAGTCCACATCAAACTTAGCACTGCTAAAGGGTTGCAAGTATCCTGAGGAAGGAGATGAGGAGAACACAAAACGACTGCCCGACACCAAACACCAGCGCCTCCAAAGATATCATCGTCTTCCCTGCTGCCTTGTACACACCTGCTATGGCTGCACCTAAAAAAAGAAAAGAAAGAAAGAAAATTATTAAGCGTGTGTGTTTTCCAATTTGGCTTCTGACTTACTGATAAGCAGAGCTCTGCCGACAAACCACCTTTTGGCCTGCTGACCTCCTGATATAAGCAACAATTAATCAGAACCTCACACTTGGGGTCTGAATGTAAGGCTTGACTACTGCAAAAATCATAATAACCATTAGTTTGGTCAATGTATTCACTACATATCATTATTATTCATTATCTAAAATTTCAAGAAGTTATTGTACTTACAATCATGTTTTCTTTTGGGGTTTTCTGAGCTTTAAATAGAAAGAGTTGTGGGTTGTTGGGTATTCAGGGTTGCCTGGTACAGCTCATGCCCTAATTAGGGGATGTTTGTAACCATAAACGTTGTCCCGTAAGGGCAGCCTGTGTGTGTCTCAGTGTAAGATTCTTGGATGTCATAAAATAGTCCTAGTTTGTTCCATTTCTGCTGTCAGGTGAGCAGACCAGAGAGGGGAAGGTACGGACGACAACACGTTATGTTACTGTCAGATGTGAGAGAAAGTGGGGCATGGATGATTTAGCCTACCATCATCAGGGGAAACAGGTGGATTAATATCAAATTTGCAACTGAATGTAGACTGTGTCACTTCTTAAAGAAAATCTAATTAGATTTTTACTGAATTAATAATAATAATAAAAAGAATATCCCTAGTTCTCTTAATCTTTTCACTGTAATAATAATAATAATGCACTTTTTTTAAGAATATGCATTTACTTTGTTTAAATTTGTTATCACGACTTGTCCAATCAGGATTTTGTGCGTTTGCTTATTGAGACTCGTGAATCACCTGCCTTCAAAATTAAATGAATAAACATTGCAGTAATATCCATTTTGAACTTCAGAATAACATATGGCTATCAGACACCTCCGAAGTCATTAAAATAAGACACTACAAGTAGCACTGAAAATATTGAAGACTTAACAACTAAACATGAACAAAAACTACAGTGAAACAAGCAAATGCACTCTGGAAACTAACTCAAGCTTAAGTGACTGACTTGGGAAACATTAAATAAAAGTTCAGGAGAAAATACAGAACTTATCATCTATTATGAATCTTAAAAACTGCAAAATTTCCTGATGCTTTGATCCATCTTAAGATTCAGTATTTCATTAAGAACCATTGTGGTGTGCTCACAACCCAATTCAGCTACAGCGATACTAATTTACACATTGAGTCCTATTTGTAAACACTTGAGATTGAGACTAGTAGACCCACACACTGTGGAAGCTTAAATGAACTGGCTGCATACTGAACAGGTTTCCAGCAGCACTGCTCAGTGATGGTCCAATTCATTCGGTTCTTTTACATTGGGGAAAACACAAAGGCATCTGCCTAGCATGCAATACATCCCTCGTATGAGATCAGGCTCAGACGGACACAAGTTCATGTCCTCCTGTGTGGACTAATCTGCTGTGGTGATACTTAGGAAACAAGGAAGCATCTGAAAATACCTTCTATTTTATAATATGCGGGTATACAAATCTTTTTAATAAATGCTGAAATAAATGTAATCACAAATAGTTATATCATTCATTTTAAAAAATTCAAAAATACATACATTAAAACAACAACAGCACATGCAGGTAAAAGGCTTACTAGTTAGGACTCCCCCAAACACTGGTCCCACAATGCCCATGAGGAGGATCGCAATGGGCATGAACCGGGCAAATTTGTGCTGGCGCAGTGAGGCTAGGGACAGTAAAGCTGCAGGCAGGTGGAACACAAGAGAGGAGACCGCTGCCCACAGAAACACGCCATACCACATCTCTGGGAAAACACAATTATACAGTTATGCATCTCTTCATGCCAATCAGTGAACATATTACATAACCACGAATGTATTTATTTGATTTATTTCCATAGGGGTGACAGTGGTTCACTGAAAAAACATGACAATGATGTTGAATCCTTAATGAGGACCAGTTTGTGACTTGACTAAACATTAAGGAGAACTCTAGATCTTCATTGTTTAACAACTAGTAACACACCAACGCAAAATGATTGCTGTGTTCAGTGTCACAGAAAAATAACTCTGGCAGAACACCAGCGCACATTTCATTTGTCAAATCTACATAGAGACTGAAGACACTACTCAATGGTCATACCCTAAGAGCCATGACCAGTGGAATTTAACAGTATCATTTACACAGGTCTTCAACATTAGAGACTCTCAAATTACAAAACAATATGCAGACTTCTGACTACCCAACAATCGCTTAGACAAAGTAGAAGTTAGCTAGCTTCACCAACTACTCCAACAACATTGCGTATAAACTAGCCTCTAGCTAATGACCCATAGTGACAGGTTCTGTTCGCAGCACATTTTAAATGGCTTCTTTTTCAGTCAAATACTTTAGCATAGGTACACAGCAAAGACATAAAGACTAGCTGAAAAGCTACCAAACATTAGCCCACCTGAGAAGTCGCTGAGAGATGTGTCATTGCCTCGGTTTGTACTATTTTTTCTCGGCACCAAATTCAAACCGAGTATTTGCTGGACAAAGCCTATTTCGTTGTACCTATCCTGCATGTCTCATAACAAAATAGACACTGCATACAGCAAAGATGGCCTACAGACGCGAAAAACCATTAAAGTTGGTTGGTGAACCTGACGCACCACTAACTAGCGTCAGGTTAGCTAGCAAGAGCTAACCAAGCTGCTGTTTTGACGCAGATGGGAGGGTTTTACCCAGAGTGCAGTCTGTCAGGCAACGCACTCCTACCAGTGCAAAGATCGAGCTATTATACAACTAACAATTAAACTAATAATAACCATTTAATGTTCAATCGATATTAGTCTTTATTGATTGGGGGGGGGTGTCGTTATAGCAGCTTTTATTCGGACATAGATTCTGTGATGATAGGAATGATAGGAAGGCACATTAAGACCACAATTTTTTATATTCTTTGGCAGCATAGTACATTTTTGAGTAGTTTGTAATAGATGACTTGTAAATCTTATGCTATTTCAATGTTAACATTTCATCTGTTGATTATAAGTTCTTGTGTGTAAGCAGGTTTAGTGTGGTTTCTTCCACGTGTATGTCGCTTGGGGGCAGTGTTCAAATAATGCAGCAGAGAAACAACCATGGAGGCTCCTCTCATCCTCATCGTTTGTGTATATTACGCACACACCACAACTTCCGGAGCGAAATAACCGTTAGGAGGATGGTTTGAAGCCGCGTAGGAAAACTCAGTTTTCGGTTTTAAAACCGGCACAATGACAAAGGCGTGTTTATCATTTACACTGGAAGCACAAGTGTGTCATGTGGTCTGACATGAGCAATTAAACACTGCAACCCCTGATGCGCCAACTCCAAAAATTCTAATGGAGAAACATCTTAAAACCTCTGTTAACTTTAAACACAATGATTTCTCACATTTACCGTAACGCTGCTAATTAGGTCTCGGTGATACTAGAGGTTTTGTGCAAAATGTGGTGCTGGTCTTCAAAGCAAAGCCCAAGAGGACAGGAAAATGGGTGCGATTACCACCATTTAATATACATCAGTATATTAAACCGACTCGAGTTTCCACTGACAGCTTTAATCTAACAGAAAATGGGTTGTGCCTTTGACAGTCTAGAAATATGCACAACTGAACAGAGCAGTGAATGTGAACCATTACCTGTAAACCTCTCATTTCATCTCCAATCCTGGTACAGAAAACCAAGTCACAAAACCATTTTCCTTAGGAACCACGTTTCAACTAATTTGGTGAGAGCAAAGTAAGGGGTTAAAGCAAAGAAGAGAAGGCAAGTTGAAGTCTGTTTTTTTACCATCATATTATCTGCAGCTTCTTATTCTAAGTCAGGTGGTTACACAGCAGTTTAGGTTGTCCAGGTGTCCAAGAGAAAGAACAGAGCTGGAAACTAGCATGGCAAGTCCACTTTAAAATCCTACAAGTATTGGTGATTGGTGCATTTAGTGCTCAATACAAGAGTCAAACCTGTGTGGACACATTCTGCAGTAATAGTGCCAATCAAGATAAGCCAGTGTTTGGTTTTGCCCAGGGCACCAACGGTTGGTCAAATTAAAAAAAAAAAAAAACAAACCAAAAAAAAAGAAAGTTAGACACTTATAATGTTAAGAACCCCCCAAACACAACATACACCTCAGGATCCAGCTGCCACCTCTAAAACTGGAGACCAAAATAAATCAAACCATTTTCCAAATAATGCTTTATGAATGTGGTTTTAAAGTGAAGAACGATTCCCAACAAAACATTGATGAACAAGAATGAAGTCAATGAAAATAGAAATAAAACTGTTTCAAACTTGGGTGCTTTACTCAAGCTGGACCTCCTGCTCTGCAGGAATAACTTACACATGAACACATACCAGACGCTAAAACACTACAGAGCGTCTGATGTGATAACTGTAAAAGTAATCCTTATCATTTTATCTTAAAAACTTGCAGGTAAAAAGTAAAATGTCACCATTCATATTACAAAGTAATCTAGCAGGAATGTTTGCTTTCATTGATTAGACTGGCTGACAGAGTACATCATTTGAAGTCACCATTAAACTTTTTTGCCCAAACTTTCTACAGCAGTACCTCCACCTCACCCACTGTACGGTCTAAACAGTGTCACCTGCTGGCACACAGTCATTGGCTGAAACAATTTCACCTGATTGTCACATGTAAGCCCATGAGGGTGGACACAAGGCAATCTTGCAAAAGGTAACGCAGAAAACACACAGCTTCCACATGATGTATGAGGCATGAAAAGTGCTGTCCCTAGCACACATTAGAAATTATGTATTGCATTCAATGGGAAATCACAAACTCAAACCTTTTTATAGAGTATGTGCGCTTGAGCTGAACAGTACAGATATTGACTTAAAAAAAAAAAAAAAATCATATTTTGAAAACCAACACTTTCTTACCTATAGAGGAAACCTCCAGAGCCAAGCCTTGCCAGTCAATATCTTTCTAATGCCGAGATGGTGGGACTACACACAGTAGCTCCATCTGCTCGCCCTCCACAGCTGACAGAGTTACAGACTGTAGATTGTGTAGCTGTTTGGGCCTACCCCATGTGGCAGCTGTGTGTTTTGGCAAAATGTATTTATTTATTATTAAATAAATTTATCCTCTACTTCTGTGTATAGTTTGGCAATTAAATGCCTTTCAATTTTACTATAGTAGCAGGCTGAATTGACAGTTCTGCACATTGGAGATGAATATTCAACTTGGAACGACATTTTTAAAAAATATAATGCAATCTAAAGGGAGACCCAGCAAACTGAAAACCAGTTATCTGAAGAGCACTTGCGATAAAAACAAAAAACGAACATATTCTTAATGCATTTATAGCTCCTAGTTTAGGTTGTGGTGACAAACATCTCCTCTTTAGCCTTCCAGCTGCGAGGTAAGAACCTAGTTAGCATGAAAGCAGCCAGTAAGAAAGAGACAGTGTTGGTATATCTCTATGGTCATTTTTTTCCCCTTTTTGTTACTACAATCTCAACTCCATAATAAATTAGAAAGAAACATACCAAAACAGCTCAAATGTTATTCAATGCAGAAGATCACAAGAGAAAAATCATTTGCAATTAGCTGCAACAAAAATAAAACTGTTTCAATTGGTCAGAGCAGCTCTGCTCAGAGACAGATCAACGGTGGGGGAGAAATTTTAAATATAGCTCTAACTTGAAGTGTCAGCCTGTTATGCAGCCAATAACAACAACATGGTGATTGGTTGATCATGAATCAGCTATTCCTCTCTGTGGTAATTCAACTTATGCTTCTGTATACATTTTCCTTTTATAAAATATTTTATTCATACAATCATTTCCTTAACCATCGCAACATTACTATTTAATTTTGGGAGTCAGGATATCAGTCACACATCACCTCCTAAGTACAATAGTATATAAACAAATGCAGAAAAAAAATTATTCCGTATCCATTTGAGTGTCTCTCATTTTACTTCTTAGTCCATCTTGTGTCTGTACACCTGTCTGCCCATTTGTCTTTCAGTGATGAGACGATGGGAGTATTGCTGGTCCTGATGGGGCATGTGGTTGGAACAGCTGTGAGCAGCAGCCTCTGCTGGCTGACCAGGAGAAAGGCCCTGCATGGCAGAACAGGCTGGCCATTGGCAGGCATTAAGTGACTCTCATGCTGGCCCGTTTACAGCTGGCTCAGAGGACACAGAACTTCTGTCGAGCCTAGAAAAGAGGAATGAGATATAGATACGGAACCTTTTGAAGACAGAAGGAAATATCACTCCATAAATGAAGACTATGAAGAGACTGATTATATTCTAATGAAATTCAAACTTGAATCACAAAGGCAGTCAGACTTACTTGGCCTCCTCTGTGGGGGACATTTCTTCCAGAGGACCATTGGGTAGCTCCACAATGGGCCGACATTTCTCACTACTTGCCAGGACATGAATAAGGAGAGAAACACAATATATTCAGTTTACAATACCAGAACATGTGAAACGGTTTAGAAAAGGCTGTAATGGAAATCAGCTCAAGATAATTTGTATCTTGCAGCAAAACAGTTTTGTCTTGTCATTTATCAATTCCTACACCTATAATTTCTTAAAAATAAATAAATTCCAGTCAATAGAGCAACTGACCAAGCTCTGATTGGCCAGGAGTTATACTGAACTTATTTTCTGGGTGCGATGCTCAACTCGACTTAAGAGGTTTAGTTACACGAGGAGATCACTCAGTCAGGATTTCTCCCCCAAACCCCAACTATCTCTAACTGTTGGCATAGAGCCCAAAGGAGCTGTCTGCCATGCAGTTTTAATACCTCATTCACTGAGCTGATGTAAAGCAGACTTTGAAGGTAATCTGGAACTATTCATAGACTTTAAATGACCTGCTTTCTGGAAAAGGTCTAATCCAATTGAAAAGGGAAGGAAAGAAGTTGTTTACTTTGTTGTTAGGCTAACTATTTTTTAATCAAAAGCAATTTACTAATTTTTAAATCACATCTTTTATTTTCCAGGCTCATATTTAACCAAAATGGAAAGGCCTGCAATTATTCACAGCTCAGAGAAACGTGGGGCACTGACATAGCTGCTAGATGCATCTGGATGGCGATATAACAGAAATGATGAATGTGATGATTCATTACTATTAATGCACTTGAAGTTATGAAGAAACATAATCTGACTATCAGATTCTGCAAGCACATCTGATAGTAGCAATGAATACTGCAAAGTCCTGCACATTTCAGGGACAAATGTGTGACGGACGACCGCTGAACACTGCAGAGCACGTGCCGACTCTGGCTTTTTATAAGACAAAAACAAACTTAAGTAGTGACTGTGAGACTGTGTGTGCTATATCTGACCCAGTTTTAGGACAGCAGGCTGTGGCTGAGCTGTTGATGCCTGCTCTCTCTGACTCCACATACTCCACTACTGAGTACTTCTCTGAAGAAGCAATCTTCTCTTCCTCACTGGAACACACAAGTACACAGCATATGCATTAATACATTGGTATGAATCCCTTCTAATTAGTCACTTTTTCCACAGAACCACACCAACCATTACAACAGTGAGATGTCAACAGTGAAGCATGCTGAACTGACTGACAGAAAGAACAGTAAAACAAAGGATGGTCATGTCGAAATGGAACACCTCTGATGTCTATGTAGGAAAAGCATCAAAATGTACAGCAAATGGAGAAAGTCAACAGATTGGATTGTTTAGCTATGATAGTCTTTACTTTGTTGCTAGCAAGCAAACAGTAAACAGGCCTAGAGACTGATTAGACCAAAATTGTTTGTACCAGCCGTCAGTCTTGCTTTGTCTCAGAGAACCACCAATCATCTTGATGAGGCCTCAATCAAACTAAAAACACTCACAAACATCCAAATCTATTCAAACATTTAAAAAGGTGCTATATAACGGGTACCCAGAATGTGTAAAATTAGAAAACAAATGTTTATGGTCTCCTGTTAAAAATCTGCAGTCAGTTACATGTTTTAAAAACAGAATTTTACAATTTCACAAAAAACATTCAAACTCATATAGTCATGCTTGTGTAAATGTAATTTTAGTCAAGTACCAAAAAAGAGAAAACGTTACTTTCTGGAATTTATAGTACAGAAAAACAAATACATGTTGTTTTGAAATCTGATTCAATTAGCAACACATTAAAGCACAAATCTTTCTATTTGAATCTACCTCAGTTATTGTTATATTTAGAATGGTTGTATTTAGGGCTGTGCAATATGACCAAAATCTCATATACCGATATAATACATTTATCGTCCTGACAATGGTATAAATCACAAAAATGTAACATTTTATGTAAATTTTGGAATCTCGAGCAACTCAACTTGCGTGAAGTGTTTCCAGCTGGGCGTCCTTTACCTGGAGTCCAGTGTTTTAACCGATGCATGAAACTATACATTTTTAGACATAAGTTGTAACGGCCATCGTTTTCTTTCAAAGTTTGAGTCGAAGGTTTATTTTTTAGCACCTGACGGCTCTTTTTTGCTTCTCATCCGTAAACTTTCTGCATACCCTTTCACGTGATTCAGTTTATTTTGAAAAGTCTCAACAGGATCAAACAAGTGGACAGCGGAGCCACTCGATGGTTTTACCGTCGTTGTTGTTGCTAACAACAACAACAACAACAACAACAACAACACATAAAGATAGGCGCTTGTCCGTCCGTAGTGTGGTTATATTAAATATAAGAGAAAGAGAGAACTTTAAGAAATTAAGATAGCCACTACAGTGATCATCAAAATGATGAAAAAAATATTGCTGTAAACAGTTTATTTTACGACACCACGAAACAAACGATAGCGTAAAATGAAACGATAGACGTTTTTATATTGTCATCCGATATACATCGTTATATCGAACAGCCCTAGTTGTATTACAGCCAATATCAAATTTTGTTTTATTATGTGAAGAGTGAGCTGTGACGTGTACATGTTTTTATTCTGTATTAAAGTAGTTTTTCAGTCAGAATACAATCACCACATTTTGCTTTTGTATTTTGCAAAAGTAGTATTGTTTTTCTCTCTAATAAGTCACAATCGCAGGATGGACACACTGTCTATTTGCTAAAGCCAAAAAAATAAGGCAGCTATGGGAAAAGCACACCAATGAAACAAGCATATGGAGAAATATATTTAGAAAGCTGTATGTAACCAATAAAAATCCAACTGAGGCCACTTCAGAGAACTGGTTTCTACTTTGGGCCAATTTCATCTGGAACATTTCAGCCAAGAATGAGATTGTGTTGCAGTGTTAGAATAAAAGTAATCTGAATAAGATCAAGGCAAAATTAAAAAGGAAAAAAAAAAAAACTGCACTAAAAAAAAAAAGAAAAGAAAGAAAAGAAGAAAAACACACCTTTGATAAAAACACATGCAGAATGGAGATAATGAAATAAACAAACAAGGAGTTGAAACCAAAGAAGATCAAAATTCCGAAAGAAAAGTTGGTGGTTGACGTGACAACAAGACTACATCACGGCTGCAGGCTGATCTCTGATTGGCTGTACATACCGATAAGATTTCAACACTCTGAAGAAGACCACACCCACAACGCACAGCAAGAGAGAGAGGGGAAGCTCAGATTGTAAGTGTCGCTCAGTTCATTACACTGCTGTTATCAACTCAGGCAGACAGACAATATGATGCAGCATCAACAAAGGGACGGAAGGACAGAGGACAACCAACTTTAAAACCTGACTGTTCAGGAAACAAGGATTTCACCATGAAAGGGACTTTTTATGAGGCACTTTTTAAGCTTGTAGGACAGAAAAGTGGCATTCAAAACTTGGTATCCCCAGTTTGTGTAAGGCAAGACCTCAGTTACTTTGGATTTTTGAACATCAAATGGCTATCAAGGAGTAAAACACAAACAAACTAGTGTTCAAATATCAACCCCAATCCCCCCAAAATCCTATTTTCTGCTGTCCACATTATCATGTCACATTACACTAACCCATGACAGGGCACACAAATTAAATGTCACAGGATCTATAGTGGTTGTATCTAAAGTCTCAAAACACCAATAGTGTAAAGAACTTATGTTAGCTACAGTCACTACAGTCTAGACAGCGGAAGAAAGAATAGTCAGTGTTAAAAACTGAATCAGTTTATAGGCCCCTTTCTTTATGGCAGTGCAATGGACCAGGTCAAGTAGGAATCATTTATCAGATCAGCCTCTAATCCTCATTGAGGCACAGATAACTAAACTGGGATTGTATTCATAAATAAGTAAATTCTTAAAGTGATAACAATTTTTAAGAATTTACACTGACTACAGCCTAGTTAAGATGAGTTATTCACAAAGTAGGACTACCTCAGTAGCTTAAGAGTTTTTCTTCTGGCATGAAGCTACAATGAGCCAGCCCCGCATCCCATAAGACACACCAGTTAAAACCAGCCAACCCATGCCTATAATCACAGAATTCCAACTGGCACTGGCACCACTCTCATCACCATAAGTCTGAAGCGTAATTCTTTTGTGTGCAAGTGATTCTCGAACCTCTTGAAAACGGCGGTCTCAGTCTTGGCATCAACAGTGAGACTGACTGTTTCTTTCATGGAGCCATTGATGACCGTTTCTGTGATGCTGCGGTGCTCAGAGCTAGATGCTTCCTCCTCTGCCTTAGAGCTCCCACAATCACTAGGTGCAGAGGCAGCTGGAGAAGCCACACTCGTGCCCAACCAGCCATCACAGTCTGAGGGATGTTAAGAAATGTGACATTAGGTGTCAGGTCTAATCAATCAATCAACGTCAATTAGACTGATTTAGCATCAACAGCTACCTCAACATGGGTTACATTCACCCCTAATATAAGAAAGATATAAGAAATATAAGAAACATCATCAAGTTCAGGAAATTCTGGATACTTCCCTTGTCAGATGACAAGAATACTGAAGGACATGCATTTGTGCATATCTCACCTTCAGACTGCATGGGTGCGTTAACCCCTAAAGGGTCAATTGTTTCTATACTGGTTTCCATAGCAACAGGAGAGTTGCATCTCAGGGGGTCTTTGGGGCTGAAAAATAAATATAAATTTATAAAGCACTTTCAAGTTTCACGGCTATCTTAAACACAAATTATTTATTCCAGAAACTGCAACACTGCAGACAGAAAAACAGACCCACGGTAAGTCAGGACATCTTACTTGACAGGAGTGAAGTTGGAGAAATCAGCCCAGCCAGTTTCTGAGTTTGAGTTAGCTGCAGGAGAGGAGCTCCATGCTGTATCAGGGGAGGTGGAGGGAGAGGATGGAGCTGGGTTGCTGGGGTTGGAGTTTGAAGCTGTGGATGTACCCGTGTCCATAGGGATATCATCAAAATTTGCCGTCCACACTGGGCCTAAACAAACAAACAAAAACAACAAAAACAACCCCAAATATATACGTTTTAATTCACGCATAAACTGAAAATAACTCCAATTAATTATCGTGATTAATTATTCGTGATTACACAATGCAATGCCTACATAGTGAGGGGTTTTAAAAAATAAAATTAAAAAAAAAGTAAAATACTGCCATTTTTTTTTTTTACTGGCTCAGTGTTTGTTTTTTTAAATAAATAAAAAAAACAACATAATTTATTGCTTATTGCGCAATTTATTGTTGATATTATTTAAATATGCTAAAAACATGCCAGTTGGAAGCGGCCATTGTGGAGAAAATGAAAGCAACTGTTACTGATTCTTCGGGGTTGATCTAAAGGAGTTGATTTGATTATTCAGTCGAACTGGGAGGGGTTAAAACTCAGCTGACAGCAATCTACTGACCAGCAGTGAGATTTTACACTCTATAACTTTAAATTAATCTTAGTTTAATCTTGATCCTAAAATCAAGTTGAGGCAAAACATAAAATAAATAAAAACGCTTGTGACAATTTGTCATTAGGCTACCACTGTGTACTTGAGTCTTACATGTGGTTGTCTCAAAACCACTAACCTGTGTCAACTTCCATTCTGTCATCGTTGCTGGGGTTGGAAGCTTCAAACTGATCCCTCTTCACGTCCTCCTCCTCCGAGTCTGTGCTCTCCTCGCTGTCTGTGCTGCCTGAACTCCTGTGATGGACAGATCAAGTATTAGAATAAAGATCTGAGCTGTCCTCTTTATACTGTGAGTGAGATTAAAAATAAATAGATAAATAACTAAATAAATAACAGAATATACAATTCAGCAGGAATTGATATCAGGATTTTATTGATACAGCTTAAATAAACAGGCTGCTCTGGTGGCGTTTTGTAAAACAATTTATCTGTATATATGCTCCTATATGGAACTTACAGTTCACATAAACACATTTTTTTGTATTTTTGCATAATAAGTATGTAATGCTGGCCTTGTTGACCACTAAAATATGTATTCAGAGCCATACGACCTTCACCTTTCTCATTTCCCTCATCTTTCCATTGTGAATGAATTTGTGTGTGATTTACAACTAACACTGACAAACCTATAGATGTTTCTTATCCAAGTACTGATGACATTATTCATATTATGTTGATTTTAAATATTATAACGATTATTATTACCATTGTATTAAAAATACTGAAGTAACAAGCTGATAATACAAAGGTTTTTTGATGACTACAGCAATGGTGATACAACTACCACTTTTCTAAAGCAACCACACAAAAAGCAAAAAACTCTAAACACAACAAATTATCCTTAAACAAGACTAAAAAGTTTTACAAATAGCTTCTGACGTTGATGTTAATAAAAATGAATCACTATAAGATCAAATACAGTGTCCATATGAATTCATGAGAAAACCTGCTATATCATTCCTACCACTTGAATGTTTTAGTTGTTCAAAATCTGGTGGCACATGGTTCACATCCGTACCAGCTTGCTCTCACAGCACTACAACTATGCCCATGTTTGACTTGATAGTCCTGTTTAATGCTATCAAATGAAGGCAACCCCGCCCCCTTAATGAAAACATTAAGTAACAAATAATTTAAAAACAAGTGGAAAGATAGTATAATGAGGCCATTAAGGTTAATTCAGTAACTCAATTCAGTTCAGTTGCAAAAAAAAAATAAATAAGTTCATTTTCTTGGTGCATGTGTGTCTGACTCACCTGGGGCGTCTCTGTGCCTCTGGTGCAAAGGTGACATCTTTTTCATCCCAGATATCGTCTTCATCTGAACCAGCATCTTCAAACTGCTGGATTTTCTCCTTACAGCGTGCCTCAAACAAAGCGATATTTGCCTGGAGAAAATTTACACACATGTCAAAATTAGAGTGTCATCGGTTGTGCTTAAAGCACATGCACATACAAAGTAAAGTCTTACAGAACAAAACCCTAGGCTGTGAAGCATTCACTTAGAAAGCAGGCCTCAGGCATCTTTCACAGCATTATGCTGTCATTTCTTTTCCTGAAGAATACCTAGAGGCTTGTTTGAAGTACAAAAAAAAATTACTTCAAGGTTTGTATTCTACAGCAGTTTTATTTTCTCACTTTCTTGTCATCTGCTTCCAAATTAATATCAACATCAGGATATGCACATCATGCCTTTAAAAATATTTTAACTAATTCCAGAAGAGTTTTACTCTCAACATTATGAATTTTAGATTAATAATCAAAGTACTTACACTTTCATTTGTATTCAGTGAAAAATTGATGTCTGATATTCTATCAAAGGGAATACTGCAAGGTTAAAGAGAGAGAGTTTTATTGAGTTAGATTTGTTAGGCATCCACATACAGACAAGCAACAAATTAAAGGAAAAACCCCAGATTCCCTCCTACAATGGGGGAATCTTTTGGCCGTTGCTGTGGGAGACATTTTAGTTGTAGAGTGATCTTTTTTTTAAACCAGTGATGAAGCACTCCCAATGATGCAAGTTGTTGCCGAGATGTTAATGCTCCCATCCATAGGGAAAGAATGGCTTTAATAAGTATGACTGATGTGACTCAAACACCATGACCTTTAGTTGCCAGATTCAAAAGCCAGCTGAACTTTTGGCGTCATCAAAACGAGGGAATATCATTTGTGCTGCTTAACCACTGTGTAGAATTTCATAGACTTGGACAAACAATGCCAAGTCACACTGCTGGCACAACACCTTATCAAGACACTTGTTTTTCCTTTAACTCGTCTCCAAATGACCCCACACAGACAAATTCTAGGACACAGCAAAAGTTTGTTTAATATTTCAAGCAGCCAGTACAAAATAAACAACTTTTAATCACCACCTGATTCTTTATGTCCCCGTTCCATGTTTTAAACTGACCAAGCTAAGAAAAGCTACATTTCCAGGTAGAGGAAACAATGCAGACAAGGAACCCAACATTGTTAGTCTCTACTTTGATATTCTGATGTAGTCACATAAGATTTTGCTGAAAATTTACCATCCACTAAGCAATCACTTTTTGCCCAAGCATGTTTTTTTTTTTGTTGTTTTTTTTATTGTTAGCCTAGTTCTAACAAAGATGAAAATACAATAAATATAAAACTCATCATGCATATTGCAGTTGGATATACACTATTGAAACAACTAATAATGAAGGAATTATCTATGTTTTTCACCTGTGTGACCACTTATAATAACTTGCCAACATCTGCCCTGTATACAATGCACTGTTCTTTTACAGCAAAGAAGCAGAGGTTTTATGCTGTGTACATCTCTACAGGAAAGTCAAGTCCTCTCTTTTTTTAGGCTACATCAGATATGTTCCAGGCATCATGATGGCACAGGAGGCACACCACTTTAGACACTTTAGATTAGCTAGAGCAGAAGCATTATCAGGTACATCAGTTAAAGACCTCAGTGAATAACAGCTTTATTTTCTAAAAGAGATCTCGCCAAATTTTCATTACACTAACATTAAATAATATTATGCTTAACAGAATTTGTAGAGGTCATGTCTGTGGTCAATGTGCATTTTCAGCCTTTCTGGGAAACATTCAATCACTGAGGTAGGTTGGTCAATGCTATGGGTCCATTGTATTTATGCATCCCCCATGTATGAGTCTTATGTTTCTAACAAGCATGCTTTTCGACAGGTGTTCATATAGCTACCTACTCAGAGCAGATCTTTTCTTCCTAAGCGCTTTACTGATGCCATTTTTTTTTTTTAAATTAAATTAAAGCGGAAGAAAAGAAAGTAAAAAGAAAAGTTATTCTTGTAACTAAAAGTTACAAGAATAACTTAAGGTCACCAGAAGCCTAAGATTATGTAAGAAAGCTGTACTTCACTGATCCACTCCCAGGCATTTTGAAAAACAAGTGACATAAAAGGCAAAACCACAAGCATGCCCATTCCAGCTCACCCTAAGAAAGACAGAAAAGAGGCGGCCCACGACAGCAGAAAAAGGTGGATATGATTTCTTCTTTGAGCCAATTTTTGCCTTTGACGTGATCATTGTACCAGGCTAATGATAAAGCATAAAATGGTGTCGCTGGTGATGACATTTCTTTCTATATAAAAATGAAAATCTAAATTACTCAGAAAAAAAAAAGCTTTATGCTTTTTAAATTGAGTTTAGGGCTAGAATGGAAATCCTTCACAAGCCAATGAATGACTCAAAATTAAGAAATTAAATTGAAGACCTTTATTTTAAAAGTCATATGCAAATATTCTATAACTGAATGAATTAACAGTGAAAAAAATGACCCACCAGCTTGTAGTGTAGTGTGCTGTACCTTTTGTGTTACATGGTAATACTTAAATAGCAAATGTAGGAAAAGTACTCACTCCACAACATCGTCCTGATCAGCAAACTCTTCGTCATTGAAGCCAAACTGCTCAATAAAATTGGACGTCATTTGTTGCATCTGATAATCAGAAAAGGCCTGGCAAAACCCAGGACCAACGATAATGATATACTCTTGGCTCTACACCAAAAATGTCATTACTTGCAGTACAAAGAACATGTATACACATACTATATTCACACACACATAACATACATTAGGATAGATGTTTAAAGTACATTCATTTTTGAATTTTCTACTGCTACACTGATGACAGAGTTATTGTGCAGGACCCATGGACACAGAGTACCCACTGAAATCAACAGCTGGCCAAGTCAAGGGGGAAGAAGAAAAAAAACCCCAAAACAAACAAAGTAACCTGATGCACTTTGGAGGACTTCAATTTCTCTTGTGAAGCATGAAGTGGACAAAATTTAAAAAGAAGTTGACATGTATGTACTGCACATTTAAATTTCCTAGGGTCTCCCCCCAATCATCAAAAACACTTTTGACAATAACTTTTAATATATAGAAGGTTTTGATTTGGCCCCCTAGGCAGAAAGGCTACCTCTACATGAGCTGGGTTTATGTGCCCATGGGTCTGCTTTGTGTGCCTTCATCCATTTGCATCTGTGTTTAAATCTTACTTGTTGAAGAGACGAGTCTTGGTGAAAACCACTCTCTTTAAAGTCCACCTCATCATCACTGGAAGAATGGATGTGGTGTGTATTTACCTGAGAAAACATGACATTTAATACAAAATGATCTCCTGCTTATGGAGTGCAAAGAGTGCCAAAATTAAATAACATAATCATTAAACTATAATTTCTGCTTACATTAAAATTAGAAGTACACTTTTATTAAAAATATAATTATTTCACCATTTTATCATCTCATGGTTCCTGTGCTACAGTGCGTCATGAAATACTGAAACTGTCACAGCAGGTTGTCAACAGACCCCAACATCTGACCTCACCTTTGACTGGAGGATAAACATTGGATAGAATTTACTTAAGTGCTATATACAGGTGATGCTTAGTTCATGCTTTGTTCCCAGGGAAATCAGTCTGGCTGACATTAAAGTTCAACTTCATAATAACTTACTGACTCTCAATGTCTTGCTGGACAGTATATTTTAAACTGAATCATTGGCTCATCTTTTCCTCATTTGTCCTAGCAGTTTATTTTCAATTAAAATTTACATTAAAAACATTTTAATGCTATGCCAAAACACTTTAGCTGTTAAATGGTTCAGCATGAAAACAAACCTGAAAGCTTTACTATTTTTCATGTTCGTGTTGTTACTCACCAAGTCAACAGTGTTTCTTTTGTTTGTGTCAGCCAGCTGTCCAGAAATAAAAGATTCCCATTTTTCTCGATCCTCTGCAGGGAGCTCTGTCACAGACATGAAATTTATATAGACACAGACACACACACACACACTACATCAACATAAAGAGCACAGCTATCAAAACTACTGGCAGAAGACAGTGCTACCCCCTGAGCCCCTTTACAACAAAGTAGAATAACAATGTTATTCTCAAATTATGGGTAAGCACATCTCTCACTTTATTTTCAGTTATGATTTTAGTGTCCAATAATTATAAAACCCAGATAATAAACAAAACATTCATGCTCCAAATTCTATTCCACAGTTTCTTGTGTTTTAAAGCCAGCTCTTCTCTTTCCCCTCACATGGAAGTGCTTTTTGTCCTTCCTAAAATACGAGTGTAACGAAGGGGAATATGAGCTAGGGTTTAGAAACGTTAGTGTGCTGATGATGATGTGTTCCTGGTCAGTATGAGACCTATCGATGATAAACCTACACTTTACAGGAAAGTAACAACACATGATGGTGCTAGATGAGCACTCAAAGAAATGTAATTCCTCACCAGAGATGAGCTGTTGTATTTGCGGCCCATTAGGGCCTTTGTCGCAGTTATGAACTATAGAGTTGGCTATTCTGGTCAGGTGACCCATGTAGCCTCGTCGCCGCCCACCTTCTGCCCTAAAACAAGGTTCAATAGTAGTATTAGCATATTTAATAGGGTGCTAGCGCCATGACCAATAAAACACAAGTATTATGCTTTTAGTGCAAACAAGAATACTTACTGTTCTTTCTCATTGGAGCTCCAGGCATCAATGATTCTCTGTATAAATTGGCACTTTTGAAACAGCTGGTGGAGAAAAACACAAGATACTAAATACACCAAAGAAATATCTGACAGACAGCTCACGTGACGTATAGTTAACTTCCAAGTCTGTTGCTCGTATAGGCCTGTATAAACAGGTTATGGACACATATACATATGTGTATTTATACACACACACACACACACACACACACACTAAAAAGTGTGGTTTTCCCCTTCTAGTATTTCAATCTTACATGTTTGATGAGGATGCTTTCCTTCACGTGTTCTGCCTCTGTGTCTGGTTGGATGTCTATGGGGGCAGGAGGCATAGCCAGTATCATGGCTGTACAGATTTCCACCTGAATGTGGAGGAAGTTGTTCCAGATGTATTTGAAATACATATCCTGTTGAGTAAAACAAAAACAAGTACAAAAGGAGACGCATTAATAATGGATTGGATTTATACAGCGCTTTTCAAGGCACCCCAAGTGCTTTACAATGCCACTATTCATTCACTCTCGCATTCACACACACTGGTGGAGGCAAGCTACGATTGTAGCTACAGCTGCAGACTGGGGCAGACTGACAGCAGCGAGGCTGCCATATCGCGCCATTGGCCCCTCTGACCAACACCAGTAGGCAGTAGGGTAAAGTGTCCTGCCCAGGGACACAATGACCAGGACAGAGAGCCCGGGGATCGAACCGGCGACCTTCCGGTTACAGATGCGCTTCCCAACCCCCTGAGCCACGGGTCGCATTAGTAAACCGACGGACAGAATAAAACTAGGGGGAACCACAACCAAAGGTTTTCCAGGTTTTTTTTGCCGACATAGCTGACACAAACTATGAAGGAAAAAATCTGTCATGTCTCCTCACAGGCAGAGATCTTATATCCGGATCATGGTGGACATGTAGGCTCCCTGTGCATTGCCACTATACATGACAAGTGATAACTGGATGGCCAGATTTAAGCTAAGTATTTTTTTTTATTAAAAAAAAAAAACAAAAAAAAACAAACAAAAAAAACAAAACAAAAAACCACGAAATACTGAAAAGCGATGTGTTGTGTGTCGTGCATTATGAATGATGCAGGCCGTTTGAAAATTCAGGCCAGCCACATTGCTAAAAAATAAAATCCAAAACAACAAAAAGTTAAATCATCCATTTTCTTCTGCTTATCTGGGGTTGGGCAGCGGGGAAGTCCAGACCACTCTCTTATCAGCCACCTCTTCCAGTTCTTCCAGTTTCCCAACAATGCTCCATCTGGTGGCAGATGGCTGCATAACATCGGGATGCAACAATTTACTGGGATTGGACATTGACTTGAATGGTGTGGAAGTTTGAAGTGTAGGGATAAAACTTTCTGTTAATTGTGCAAGTTAGGATTTTCAGATTTAGACCAAAAACTCTGAACTGGACTTCTGTGGAAAATTTATGCCCCAAAAAATTTTCAGAAAACTTTTGAACTTGTCTAAGATCGAAATTCATTGCATTGATTGTAGTCTCCGCCCCCACACCACACACCCTAAAAAGAAGATAGTACTTACTAGTATAACTCCAAGTGTGTTGAGGTTAATTAGTTCTGTATTGATGCTGTGTGTGTTGCTCTGCAACAGACTGGCGACCAGTCTGACCACATTGAGCCTGGTGTTGCCCACTGGAGGGTCCAGAACCCCCCATGTTGTCTTCATCATATTCTTCTGATGGTGGAAAGCAAATTGTTTATCTTAACTACAAATGTCATTTTCCTTGGGATAAATAAAGTATTATCAATCAATCAATATTTGCAGACTTGGCCTGAAAAATATAACATAGTCCACCTATCTTCAACCTACAATCTGCAAATCTGCAAACAGAGCAATAGTCACAGCTGTAAATAGTCTTTACCTTTGGAGGTTCGAGTAGCAGCTGGTGAAAATCTTTGAGTCTGGGTCTCACAGCCTCGAGGATGCTGTGGTTCACTGAGAATGATGGATGAGACATCCCTGGGGGGCACTCCATATGACCCTCAAACCTACAACACATGTCCAGTCACATGAACTAGTGCAAAAAAGAAAACAAAACAATGTTGCCTTGCCAGTACAGTTTGGACCATGATTCAGACTGGGACTATATGATTTAAGGATCCAAATAGGAGAAGTAAACTTTGTATACTGCAATAAAGACAGAAAGAATGTTTGCGGTATTTAGCTCCCCATTTCAAGCGGTATTGTGTTGCTTAAAAATTGTTTAAAAATTGATTTATTTTAAAATCTCCACCCATGTCAAATTAAAAATATCAACTGGCAGATGAAAGGACAAGACATACGCTGGTCTCCTCGTCTCAAACAATGTGAGCAGGATCTGGATAACGCTGACAATTGCAGACTCGTTCTTTTCCTTGTCGAAGATATTAGAGAGCAGCTGCTCTACTGTCTCCTGCCTGAAGAGGAAGATAACAGACACTTAAATGAGGGAAAGCAGGTTTTTTGCATGGCAGAAAATGACAATGAAATCGAACAAAAACAAAGATAGACACAAGAGAATGATTTAAAGTTTGATCTGGTTGATCGTTATCAAAATTCACACCAATTATCTTATATCTGAGTTCAAAGGTTACGTCACAGTAAAACAAGAGCACTCAGAGCGTAACTCCCCAAAAGGACAAGGGCTATACTAAATGACACTTTTATTACAATACATTCCCTCTTATTGGGTCACTGCAATGCCATAGGGTGTTGTACTGAAAAAATAAAGTGTGTTGTACAGCTCTCTGCATGCCCTTTCATATGATATGGGGTTTTTTTGTTTTGTTTTTTTACAGCATCAACTTTGACCTTGGGCACTAACAATGAAGATCAAGGTCTAATACTTAGCCAACCCAGGTACTCATGTCCCCCAAGGACTAGGATATTGTTGTGAAGTATCCATAAAAATTACTGGCTCATATAAAGTTTTCACTGATATTTTCACATTTGGTGTGACCCTGACCCAATTTCACCAAAATTAAATCAGCTCGAGCTGTTTTTGGTATCATCGTAACACAACTGAAAATGAGATTTCGGAAACCAGACTGCTAACAAACAGGAAGACAAACAAACAAACTGAACCAACGACGTACTCATAGATAGTTTTATTCTGTACAATACTGACAAGTTCTCGTAAAGAAGCAAATACATACTTTTCAAGTGTGGACAGAAGTGGATCAGGTTCTGAAGAGCCCTGCACCTGGAACATCTGGTCTCTGCTCAGTCTAATGATCTCACAGAGTGACTGTGATGCATTGGAGTGTCTCTGTTTTCAAGAAGAAAAAAAATAAATAAAACACTGCTAACCAGCTTAAAAAAAAAAAAAAAAAAAAAAAAAAAAAGCCCTCCAGTCTTGTATTTCCCTCCTGCTAGCTGACCAGGAGGCTATTTGTTGCAGCCCTCGATCAGTGAGCCAACTCTCCAATGAGGCTCTCATCCCACAGTCAAATAGAATGACTGAAAGTGCAGGGAAGAAATTCCCATCGGGAGAAACCCCCACCCCAACACCGCCTCTCACCGAGGGCACATAGGTACAGAGCCCAGCACCCCTCCAGGTGACTTTCTGCACTTTATATAGTATTGTTTAATATTGGTAAATATTACATCTGAATGTCTTCAATGATTAAATAAGTACCAGTATACTTCCTGACGAATACCCTGGTGAATACCGGAAGTACAGGGCAAAATATGTAAGAAACTCACATCTTCATCTTGAGAAGGTTGTATCATCTCCACCAGTCTCTGAATCACTTTCTCCTCATTCAGCCACTAATAGAAACAAAGAACTTTGTCAGGAAATCATAAAATTTCATTATTAAATAAAAAGGCTTCACAACGTTTCACCCTTTGCTGTCCACTTCATTCCTTAACATCAACTGAGAACGGTTAATAAACTATACCAGATGGCAATATAATTTAATGTGGACTGTAATATTCTAGTGTAAACTGCCTGAGAGGATATCATTTTTAGCAAAGGAGGGAACCATTTTGTTGTTACCCACATTGAGAACATCTTGTCGTAGCTGCTGTGGTTCGATGCAGGTGAGCATCCTGAGCAGCAAGTCCATGATCGCAGAGGTCCCGATGTGTTTTATCATCAAGTCTACAAAGTCTTCCTGCTTCCTCAAAAAATCAACTATCTTTAAATAAAAACAAGACAAGGTTTTGTCATACCGATTTAAACAGACTTTGTTACACCTATAAGTAGCAAAGCATTTTATCCTCTCAGTATTTTTACATGTTGGCATCATTGGTGAAAAGAAATAAATTAATAAATAAAAATCCTACCTGTTCAGGCTTGCGTCCTATAAGAATAGAAAGAACTTTGGAGAAGAAGCTGGCCAGGAGGGGGTTGAGGGGCGGCTCATTTTGGAGGAAACTGTACAATTTCATCAGCAGTTTTTCATCTTCTCCTAGTCTGTCATTGATCTGGCTCACATCTGATGTAAGCAGCTCACATGATATGTTGGGATACCTGAGGGGTTTAAAAAAAAAAAGAAAGAAAAAAAAAAAGGCCCTTTTAGAGTTTTTCCAATAGTTACAGCACTGCTCATTACAAAGCAGATAAATATTTAAATGCAGGAAATTCTAGAGGTATGAGTTCTTCTCAAAGTTATATCCAACCAGAGATCAAGAGTTTAAGTTTAGTTGCTTCATTTCACCAGTTTATTTTGAGAAAACACTAAATTACAGCAGCACTGCCACCATCGGTTCTGTAAGTAGTGTAACAGGAATTTTCTACAAACCTCAGTTATACTGGTACACCAGACAGAATCAAACTTTTTTTCTTTTTTCTTCAGATTTCCATATTTCAAAAAACAATTTGAACAACAGATCAAAACAAGTGTAGATAATTCTCCTGTGAATTCATATAGCTCAAGTGGGAGCCATATGTCCAAGTAATACCATAGTATTTAAAGCAATGAGTGATTTTAAAGCAGACTACTGGATGTGAAGCTTTCCCAACTGGATTTTCCCACATAATCAGAAGTTTGGGGAAAAGCTCCCAAATCTCAGTTTGACCAATTTCTTCCGGCCTTGTGAACAAACTTGCTAACATTTCAACTTTTGTGGACATGTCAGCAGTTTGCTAGACACTGGAGTTACGCAACTTTGATTTAGCACCACAGATAAGTTTACAGAAAAACTACATCCTGTAGGTTAAATGTTCCTGATGTCAACATACATCTTCGTCAAACTGTGAAATTAATAACCATTTCCTTACTTGTATTTAACCTTTTCCTCAACATCAGTACTGGGTTCCTGTGTGATAAAGGTAACCAGGTCCTCCATACACTGTGGTCTCAGCAGGAAGTCCACAAGTTTGTGATTCTGGGCCTTGCACTCCTGCAGGACATCATCCTCATCCATTACCTCTGTAAGCGTCACATCCTCCTTCTCCAGCAGTGTGTCAATGTGGGATGTGGTGTGGAGGTCAAATTTCCAAAACATGTTGGTTCTTTAATACATACATACATACATATATATGAAAAAAGGACACAAATATGTTAAAACAGATTGTGGGCAAAAGTGAGTCATTAAAATGAGCACAAAAATGAAACATTATCAATCGAGATTCATCTAAGGGGCAATGATTTACTAAGGGATCACTCAATAATCGAGTAACAGTTCTTATTTCAGCTCACCTGTGAGTATGTTGGAGTCCTCACAGCAAAGCTCAGGTTAAAAAGAGGTTTGTTCTAGTCTTTGGGAGTTGTGGCCCATTCCAGGCTGACCAGACGGATGGGCAAGCAGGCAGATAGTGGTAATGGACACACTCACAAAAAGCGCACATACAGCAGTTCAACACGAACACACCTGTGGGAGAAAGACAAAAGCAGATGGGCATATATTAGGGCTGTGCGATATGACCAAAGTCTCATATCCCGATATAAGACACTTATCGTCCCGACACAGATATATATCACAAAAATTTTACATTTTCTGTAAATTCTGTGAATCTCGGGCAACTCGACTTGAGTGAAGTGTTTTCAGCTGGCGTCGTGTACCTGGAGTCCAGTGTTACATAAGTTGAAACAGCCACAGTTTTCTTTGTGAGTATTTATTACACGGCGTGCTGCGGGGGAAAGCCATCAAATCTGACTTTTTTTGACCCCATGCGACGCATATCCGATCATGGTATAACAGTTTGAACAGCACAAATCCAATTTTTTCAAATCCGACCTGGGTCACGTCGTATTTAGGGCTGCCACAAACGATTATTCTGATAGTCGACTAGTCACCAATTAATTTTGCGATTAGTCGACTAATCAGATCATCATCCATTGGAGGTAAAACGTACAGCTTATTGCACCAGCAGTATCTGCTCTTATATAACTATCATTTGCTTACAGCTTTAAGTGTGTAAGGTCTGTGCTAACTAACAATAAAGACAAGATGATAGTTTATTAAATTTGCAGATTGTTTCGGTGAAGTTTAATAAACTCCTTGCTATCTAAAATATAACAGGACACCGGAGTATATTCTCGAGCATCTCACACTTCTGATAATCAGCTGTCTGCTTGACGTTTATTCAGCTGTGTAAAAACTTTAATCTCAGCCAAACCGATTTACTCAGGAACAAATAAAACACTGAAAGAAAGCCAAACAATAACATTTTTAAGTTATCTAAGTGACTTATATATCATGTTTAACCTGAGTAGCGAAAGACGGCGGTGGGTTTGAAAACGATTTGCCGGGAGTCCGGTGTTCTCACGGCTCTAGTGAGCCTAGCCCCCGGCTAGCTATAGAGCTAGTGGGTAACAGACGTCTCAGAAAACGTCGGAGCGCTTTTGAAAATATTTGGCGTCTTGATAAACTGAGCAGATATTTGAGGTTTACACAGCTACATTCTCGCCTGAAAATATGTTAAACGTTTATTTTGTGACCCAGAAAGAATAATAAGAGTAATATTAAAACTAACTAGCTGCCGCCATTGTTGGAAACTGAGCTGGGCCGCGCTATGAATTCTGGGACACAGCTTCTTCTTCTTCGGGGTTTAACGGCAGCTGGCATCCTTGTACATGCAGTGCTGCCATCTTCTGTTTCAGTCCGTTATTACACTCTTAAATCCTGCTACTTATTCCTGCGTCTTTTGGGATCTTACAAATAGAGCAGGGCGATATGGCCAAAAATATTTATCACGATATATATTTGAAAATTTGCGATAACGATATAACCGACGATATAATTGATGCGAGACAAAATACAACTCCACAACATTACTAGCGCAAAAAGACAACCTTCCATTTATTTTCACTTAAACAAGAAGCTGGTTTTTATGTACATTAAAGCTTTATAAAAATGTAACAGTGCAAATGCAAATTCCTTGCTGAAAGTTTAACCAAAAGGCATTTCCAGTAGAAATGGGCTGACACATCCTGAGCATAACCATGTATAATATCCACTGAAGTTAAAAAGAGGTGCTTTGCAACATTAAACTGCAGTGTGCAGTACTTATTTTTCGGACCATAAGGTGCACAGGATTATAAGGCACATTAAGCGAAACAAAGCAGTCAGATAAATCAAACTTTATTAAACTCATTCTTCTTGCTTCCTCCACTTCTGTACCATTGATTCATTAATGTTGAATTCTCTGGCAGCTGCTCTATTCCCATGTTGTTGCAGTATATTAATGACTAACCTCGTATTGTGGATGGATTATCTCAGTTGTTCTCCTGACTGAAGTTTGGTCCGTTTACAGCATCCTGCCATGCGATTGCATTTGTCTCTAACCATGAAGAACCTTCACGTTAACTTTTATAAGTGGAAAAGTGTTAGTGTTCGTCCTCCAGCTTCACTGTTTATGTTATGCTAACATAGCTGTGTCGCTAGCGATCACGTAGCACATCATTATATACCAGCTAGCCCAACTTCAGTAACCCTACAAACGTCACTGCTGTTTAGTTTCCTGTCTTCATTTATGTTGGAAGTGATAGCAGAGCTGTACGTTTGATTTTTTTCAGAAATCTCTCAGTCAGAACATGCAATATCATGCTTAGGTAACTAGCGAAACTAGCGAGCTAACTTCCGCTAGCTTCCTGCTAACTTCTAACTCCGTTAAATGTAATAACTTTTGTTTTCATGGATGCCTGGAAGTTAAACTTTATAGTTACACCTGGTAAAGCAGCAATGCTGATCGTTTTATTAAAGATGAAAGAATTTAGACATAAGTGATGCTGCAGTGTTGTTTGACCTGAAGCATACGGAGTTTAGGACCCAGATTACTCCCAGATTTAAGAGCATCTTAGTCCGACAAATACGACAATAACGACGGCCGCTTGCATGTTCTGCAAAAAAATGTGCTTTGTTGTGTATCTGACGGACAAACACCAAACCAGTTCCACATCACTGAAGTTGCACCATTTTTACAAACCAATTCTGGTTCATCTGTTTCACTCAACAATCGGCCATGTGCGTATGAAAACAAAGGCACTGCGCATGCGCGTTTTACTCCCATTCTATCGCGATATTTCATTTTCCTATCGTTGCCTAACATTATACCGGTATTACCGTGAACGGTATAATATGGCCCAGCCCTACTTACAAAGCTTCAAACGACGCGTCGACTATTAAACCAGTCGACGACGATTTTGATAGTCGATGTAATCGTGACTAGTCGACTAATCGTGGCAGCCCTAGTCGCATTAAATCAGTCTTTTATGTCACTGACACAAGACAGACGCCAATTATCAGCGCCGGAGAAGACAATCAAAAAGACATTGTGAACGCTTCCTGGCCATCCAGTGAACAACCGGACCAAAAAAAAAAAAAAAATCAGAATTGAGCATTAAGACCTCCAGTGTGAACTTAGCCTTATAGTCAGCAGCATTTAGAAGTGCTTACATAACTTAAAGGCTTTAAGAATGCCCCCACCCAACATTTGGATCAGATATCCATCTCATCCTGACTTAAAAACCTGGACAGGATAGTGGTGACAACCTCCTGATCCATTTTACATTGTTCTGTGTTTACTACACACTGGTTGCTACAGAGAGCTATCATAACGTGGAGAATGCCAACAGGAAAGAACCAGCATTTTGGAGACATTTTACTGCTGCTACACAGATTTTCTTTACATGTTTGGAATAGGGTTTTTTTTTTGTTTTTTTGTTTTTTTAAATTAAACAGTGGTCAAGTGAGTCAAAGAGACAATGTCAATGATGTATCAGTAGCCCACCTAAGGCCCAAGATGACTACCAGCTGAGGCTAACCAGCTGGCATTAAACACCAATAATAAGAAATCTACAATAACTTACATGCATTTAGAAATCTCACACATACAAAGAGCGACCTTTCTCTAGTTAAAGAACAAAAAGGCACAAATTCTCAATTATTACTATTTTAACCGTTCATTTTATATAAAAATAAATAAACTCCCCAGTCTCTTTCTCATCACCAACTGGGTATGAAGACTTGCATCTAGGCTAACATGATTCTACTACTTCATCTGTGCCTCATAATTAGAACTAGGCAATAAAACCAATTAATTATCGTGCAAAAAACTTTTTAATAGCAATATAAAACATGGTCATTATTAGGGCTGGGCCATATTATACCGTTCACGGTAATACCGGTATAATGTTAGGCAACGATAGGAAAATGAAATACCGCGATAGAATATGAGTAAAACGTGCATGTGCAGAGCCTTTGTTTTCATACGCACATGGCCGATTGTTGAGTGAAACAGATGAACCAGAATTGGTTTGTAAAAATGGTGCAACTTCAGTGATGTGGAACTGGTTTGGTGTTTGTCCGTCAGATGCAGAAGATGCAAGCGGCCGTCGTTATTGTCGTATTTGTCGGACTAAGATGCTCTTAAATCTGGGAGTAATCTGGGTCCTAAACTCCGTATCGTTCAGGTCAAACGAACACTGCAGCATCACTGAGAGTTAAAAACTGTCTAAATTCTTTCATCTTTAATAAAACGATCAGAATTGCTGCTTTACCAGGTGTAACTATGAAGTTTAACTTCCAGGCATCCATGAAAACAAAATTTATTACATTTAACAGAGTTAGAAGTTAGCAGGAAGCTAGCGGAAGTTAGCTCGCTAGTTACCTAAGCATGATATAGCATGTTCTGACTGAGAGATTTCTGAAAAAAATCAAACGTACAGCTCTGCTATCACTTCCAACATAAATGAAGAGAGGAAACTAAACAGCAGTGACATTTGTAGGGTTACTGAAGTTGGGCTAGCTGGTATATAATGATGTGCTACGTGATCGCTAGCGACACAGCTATGTTAGCATAACATAAACAGTGAAGCTGGAGGACGAACACTAACACTTTTCCACTTATAAAAGTTAACGTGAAGGTTCCTGATAGTTAGAGACAAATGCAATCGCATGGCAGGATGCTGTAAACGGACCAAACTTCAGTCAGGAGAACAACTGAGATAATCCATCCACAATACGAGGTTAGTCATTAATATACTGCAACAACATGGGAATAGAGCAGCTGCCAGAGAATTCAACATTAATGAATCAATGGTACAGAAGTAGAGGAAGCAAAAGAATGAGTTTAATAAAGTTTGATTTATCTGACTGCTTTGTTTCGCTTAATGTGCCTTATAATCCCGTGCACCTTATGGTCCGAAAAATAAGTACTGCACACTGCAGTTTAATGTTGCAAAGCACCTCTTTTTAACTTCAGTGGATATTATACATGGTTATGCTCAGGATATGTCAGCCCATTTCTACTGGAAATGCCTTTTGGTTAAACTTTCAGCAAGGAATTTGCATTTGCACTGTTACATTTTTATAAAGCTTTAATGTACATAAAAACCAGCTTCTTGTTTAAGTGAAAATAAATGGAAGGTTGTCTTTTTGCGCTAGTAATGTTGTGGAGTTGTATTTTGACTCGCATCAATTATATCGTCAGTTATATCGTTATCGCAAATTTTCAAATATATATCGTGATAAATATTTTTGGCCATATCGCCCTGCTCTAGTCATTATAAAAGTGACAGCTCATTCAATCCATGTTTTGACAGACAATATGAAAAGCCAATGACAATGCCTGAAGTGCTGCTATTGGCTGGAATTAAACTAAGCTGCAATGTCCTGGTTTTTCCCATGTTAAGAATGTGTATAATACGAATACTCTGAAGGAAATGCTCTTATTTGTATACGTTTTTCAGTTTTTGTTGTCAAACAACTTCATGAACATGCAATAAAGATATGAAAAAGTGACAAACAATACCCATCAAGACCAATGTAAATACCCTCTATTTTCAAGCCATCTTTCAGTCCACTTTTCTTCAATGCTAGAGCCCTGACTTAATGATATGATTATGATGTCTGATTAAATCCCTGTGAAAATTTGTCAAAATCTTAGCTTTTCTCTGATTTCATCTATATTCACGTAAGTTTGAAGTTACATTAAACTAAAGCTTCTTGTTAGCAACTATTCTGAAAATTTGTTGTTGACACTCTTGAGATGTGTGCCAGTTCGGTACATTACTGTAGAGAGGTATTAATCCATTCCCATTTCTTTTTATTTTGCTTTCAAGGAGGTAAACCTTCTTTTAATTTTTAAACTAACTTTGAGCAGTACTTCTCCAGATAAATCGCTTAGCAAAGACCTAATTTAAATTGTATGCATCTTTAAACACTTTGTGACTAGCAGTCTCTCATCATTTGACCTATTCATTGATTCCCCACCTAAAAGGTCTTCTAATTACCTGTTCTGTACCACAGACAACCTATAATCACAAGCTCACCCACTGTACAAAGCACCTTCCTACTTATATTCAGAACAGTGACTTGTTACCAAGAGACTGTAGCAACTGCGTGTAATAAACATAGAGGATACCGGCTGCTGTGACTCCCCAAACTACTTTGACAAATCAAGTGCGGCTAGACATCTGGATGCCGATTATATTTCTGCTATTATGAATTTTGTGTTAACTCAGCAATGCAACTGACACAAAAACTGCACTACACTCACACTATAAAACGCCTATATTTTGATAAAACTATCACTCCCCAAAACAGCTGAACATACGCCATAGAGCGAAAATAATAAAAATACCGTAGGCACATAAACATTACGAGCCCGTAATAAAATCAATCTAAATATCCACTCTACCTACATTTCAGGCCTATGTAGTACAACTATACACATGCAATAAGATATCACATTTTAGCTGGGTGGCAATACTTAGTATTCACCCAGAATCACCTGGTTCATCTGGGCTTGACTATCTGTTCCGAACCAACAGACTGAGCAGTTTAAAAAAAATAATAAGAATTTCCTTAAGTATGTGTAAAGGCAGTCATTTAACGCAATCGTTATTGGCTGTATTTAATTTCAGCTAACCAACCTTCGAAGGCAAAGTTAACGGTTAGCTTTAATTTCGGCTAAACACGAATCAAAACAGCAGCCTTTTTAATTCACGTCATTACCAGTTCGTTTACATCCTAAGGCCCAAACCTATCTACCACTAACGGTGCAGGCGTTAAAGACAACACACCGGTACAAGGAACGTCACTAGCTATTGTTAGCTAACCCCGTGCTATCGAACTCAACCAGTTACCCTAATATATGTCACATATGAGGGTAATATTAACTGGCTGACAGGTTTGACAATAAAATCAAAATATGATCCCGAGGTACCTTAAAACACTAATGTGTCATGTTAACGTTAGCCTCCTCTTAGCTTAAAAAAAACCACAGCCTGACAGCGCAGTGATAAGATGGCCAAGTATGCTCTTTGCTAGCCAGCTAACGTTAGCCGGCTATCTAAAGACTGCTGGCTAATCGTCTCTTCAGCACCAAGTGTATGAGCTTGCAGTTGTACCTACCAATAGACAAGGGTAAACACCGACTCTCCAGCATGTAGCTTATCTTAACATTAGCCTCGGACCTTAGCGATACTAAGACAGAGCTAAGATGAAATTTTGGCAAGGAAAATAAAGCGTTTAAAACTGTTTCTAACAGGCGCGAAAATGTAGACCTTCGGAGAGCACTTTTCAAGATGGCGGTTCCGTCAACTTCATCGACCCCTTCCCCCACTCCAGCTGCAATGTTTGTCAATCAAACGATTTCCGCAAAACTATTGGTTGCGAATCCTGTCGCTCAAACAAGGTCGTGAGCTTTTATTGGACAAGGTGCGTGCCTCGTCAAGACGTCATTTACACAGAGTATATGTATACTGTGCCGGAAGAACGGGGTTTATACCGTTTATCAAATTTTAAGCAAAACAGTTAGACTCATGTGGTAACACAACAAATTGAAGGTTTAATGTAGTGTAATTCATCTACTTGATAACTGTATTTTGGTTAACTACGGGTAACATAAAACCTTCACCCCGCACGCGCGTTTGCTTTGAATTTTAAATCGAGCACACTAAGTAGCCTACACGCACGCCCACGTCTCGTTCGAGAAACGCCCAGTTGATGGCGGTAGTGTAAAGAGCGCAGACCCTCGTTACCTAAAGCGAACGTGTTTATCTTTTAGGTATGTGTTAGTGTAATTTTATTTACATGGCGACAGTTAACAACAACAGTAACCTCAAAACGCTTTATGATGTCAGTTTAAATAGTATATCAGAGAATGGCATATGAGCAGCACTTGATAATGTGCTATTATTGTGTATTATTAAATTGAATTATCAGTAAAAAGAAGATTCTGCTCAACTTTCAATTCACTGGACTGGCTACTGCCACATTAGTGAGGATTGTGGAACAGCTCAGAGTCGGTTTGATATGAATTTTTTTTTCTCACATGTTTGCACTGACTTGCTCACTATCGCTCAGGTTACCGATTGGAAAATCTTGCACACAAAGGCCGTTTGTCTTTTTAAAGGATAATCGAAACTTTTGGGCTTTCTAAAATGGCATCAGTGATACATCAATTCAAAATACAATGTATGTGGAATTCATTCTCAGTTGTTTTGTGGCTTCAAAAAGGTCTACATTATTAAAGCACTGCAAATTCTTCAATTTCACTGCTCATGTATAGAATAATAATAAATATCACTATTTTATTTTCACTTCTTTCTTTCTATTCTTTTTATTGAAACGCCACTATGGGGACACCCAACAGTGTCATTGATGGCTTACTTTATGTTGCAATTAATTGCAACAATTTTGAGCCAGCACATTGAGCTTCGATATGATGAAAGGATAGTTACTGAACGATGTTTCAGTCTCACCGACCCGCATTTGTCTAACGTGTGCCGCACTTCACAGTTTCACTTCAAGCTGAATTCTCTGCCTCCAATACTGCTTTTAGAAACTCTGATGAACACCACAAGCAGCCCGCAGTCTGAGAGAGGAGCGTTCTTTTACAGTCGTTTGACTTTGCATATATAGTGATGTCTAATGTTGCTCGTTTCTTGTGGTCCACATCCTCACTTGTCTTTTCCATTTACAAAAAAATAATCACAAATTTTATTTCTCCCGTCTTTTCTTGGGACTCTAAACGCAGCACTTGGCTGGCACAAATCCCCGTTCGCTAATCGCTTCTCATCAGATCGTCGGGATTCAGACGTCATGCTTTCATCCGTCAGAGGTAACGGAGCATAACGTGAATCCGCAGTCCGGGGAACAAACATACAGACATCCTCATCATCATCATCATCATCATCAGCAGCAGCAGCAGCAGCTAGCTCAGTGATGATGAACATGGATTTAAGTGCCGTTATAGAGGAGATGGAGACGGGCGACCAAGACTCGGCTCTGACGGCTTTACAGAGCTACAACAAGCAGGTAAACACCAGCCCTCCAACATCGGGAGGAATCAGTGCGTTGTAGAACAGCTGTTTGAGTTTATGAAACGCTTTCCATTCAGAAGATGATCCTGAAATAATTGCCAAATCAGAACTGCCTTCAAAAGTAGAACCTTTACTATATTAAATGGGGTTTAAAGCTGCATTGTACACCTTAATAGCCTATACGATATTGTGTATTGAGCCTCCCCTTCTTCTTCTTCATGTTTTGCTTTCACGGAGCCAGATTTCCTCGTAATTTTAAAGGGATATTAAGCAACAGTTCTCAAGGCTTTCTCTGGGTCTTTCAAAGTTCTTCTTTGGAATTCGCTGCTTTTCACTCATTTTCAGCCCAGTCCTTGTACCTGACAGATTTTTGACATGACAGCAATGTGTTTTTGACGGTTAAGCAACTGAGCACTGACCCATGAGTCATTCAAGCTTAAAAAAACATCTAACTTACGGGATGAACCAGTACTGTGTCTGGAATAAACGAGAACTTAAAGATCCAAATATAAATTGTATCACTGGGAACTTTGTTACAAATAGCCTGTTGTAAAAACACATTCCCGTTTCTTTAGCTGATTCTATAAACATGACACATACCTGAGAGATGCATCTGACCCTTGATCCATCTACTGTTTACCAAAGAAATGGTCTCAGTGGAAGGGTGGCTGTCAACAACGCATTCTTACACCAAACTACACAAAAACTGGACTGAAAATAAGTAGCAACAGGTCTTATTGAGTGATGAATCCAAAGTAGATATCTTTGGTTTAAAACATTGCCAGTGTGTATAGAGGATGTCAGGAGAGAGCTGCAACAAAGGTACAGTGAGTGTCTATGGTAAAATATGGAGGAGGCATGTTATGGTTTCGGGCTGATTTTAGCCAGTGGTGCTGGGGATCTTGTCAAAATTCATTTATGAATTCATTTGTGAATGCAATAAAATGAGTGCCATCAGATTTGGATCCACAGTGCAACAGCATCTGGAAAGTGTGTGATAGTGGCTTAATTTTTCACTTTTTTAATGATAAAGTGAATATGCTGACAATGCAGTAAAGGCATACCTGGATATAAGACACACTGAAATGCCGTCACAAATTCCACTGGATGTGAATTGGCCTCCCCAGAGCCTGGACCTCAACATTATCCAAGTATTGTGGGATCTGCTGTTGGTGCTGGGAAATTGGTAGAACCACCCATATCATAAATCACCTAAATTACTTAATAAATAATAAATGAATATTAGATAGGATAAAACATGGTTTATTTATCCCAAAGTTGAGACATTCATTGCACCAAAATAATAATTTCAATAATAATAATGATGTGGCATAAGTTGACAGTAAGTGTAATCTATTTAGCTGCCTATTAATTCCCTCTTAACCCTTTGAACTTCTGTGGTAGTTTAGTCCCAAGTTTTATTATGTGATCACCAACATACAAAGAGTTGAGCCTGACACAGTTTGAATTGCAGGCAAGTCAGTTTCATAATGTGGTAGAAAATCAGAAAGAAATGTAAAAAGAAAAGAGAGAAATATTTGTTGAAAATAATTATTTTTAATTCATGTGAGCCACTGATCGTAAAAATAGAAATGGGAAATGCAAGTTAGTTTTGTCACAAATATCTACATCCATTGCATCCATTTTCTGCCACTAATCCAGGTTTGTGTCACTAGGCCAGCAGTCTAAGAAAAAAAGCCCAGACGTCCCTCTCCTCAGCCAGCCACAGTTTTCCAGGGGGACACCAAAGCCTTCCTTAGCCAGTCAAGGCATATAATCTCTCCAGAATTTCCAGGGTGTTTGTTCTGAGATTAAATCCTAATTTCTTGCAGAATCTGACATGTACGTATGTCGTAACTCAAGCCATCTAGAGAGGTTTCTCTGTGCTCTTTCAGTTTTTCTAACATGTGTGATTTCCTTGTAACTCTGATACACCTTGGAAAGGAGTCAGTGTCAGGACACTGAAGAGTAATGGGAAAGAGCACTGTGGGAGTTTTGAAATTAATGTAATTAATGGATTCATCGCTTAGATACAGAGAAAAAAAGAGGACAGAGAAGCAGAAGCAGTTACTCGAAGATAATGAGATCATGTTTAAGATCAGTGCTGAGGTACATCCAGTAAAATGTCAAAGATTTCAGCTGCAATGTTTAGTGATATTACAGATATTTTATTTCCATTTTAAATTCAAGCTTATCATAACACATTATACTACTTCCCTTAAACCATAAGCTTACTCTAAGACTGATGATATTAATTCATATTTTATCTATAACTCTCAGGATTATCATTACTTTTTAGATTAGTTATTTTAGGTAACTACTTTGTACTCTACGTACATTATTAAGTTAGAGCTCTGGTGTTGGACCAAGGACACTTGGACTCTGGCTCTTGAGGCCTGGAGTTCCCTACCACTGTTCTAAGATATAGTGTTTTGTTAGCCTCTAATTGTATGGAAGCACAAAAAGAGTACAAGCTAAAGGACCTAAAGTACATACAGTCATAGCTCAGTGTGTACTGTTCAGTGTAATTAATTTATAACATAGCTTTTCCAAACATCCTAGTTTTTATTTGACATGCTTACATTATTTTACTTTGCACACTGATCAATCCCAGCCCATTCTTCTTTGGCAAATCTGTCAGGCTCTCCAGATTTGTTTGTTGTCTTCTGGAGATTGTTCTTCACCAAGAGTGATGCATGTTTGGGGTTGTTGTCATGCTGGAAGATAAAACAATGACCCAGAACCAATTTTGCTGCTGAATACTTCTTTCAAAATCTTCAAATATCCTTCTTTCTTCATGATTCCTCCTGCCTTCGTAACATTCCTAGGTCCAGACGAACTGATGCATCCCCAAAGAATGATACTTCCACCACTGCGTGTTCTTTGGGTTCTGAATTGTGTACAACCTCACCCTTATTTCTCCAAACATAAGCAGCATCTTTATGGCAAAGAGCTCTACTTTAGTCTCATCTGACCAAAAGGCACACCTTCAGATGCATAATCTTTCTCCAGGTTGTCCTTAGCATACATCAGTCTGGCTTGAAGTTGACACTTCTGCAGAAGTGGAGTTTTTCTTAGTTTGCAGTCTCACAGTCCGTGAGATGGTCTCCTTTGATACTACAATTCATGATTTTGGTCAATCACTCACCAGTGCTTTGAAAGTTGTTCTGTGGTTTTTAAAAAACATTTCTCACTAGCTTTGTTTCCAGAGTCTTTGAAATCTTTTGCTTCCTACCTCTGCAAAACTTGCTCTGTACTGTGCAGCTCTCTTTAAATTTCTTTATGATACTTGTCAGTCCAGTTCTTTATCCTTGGAAATACTGTAATAACTTTGTATATCTATCTCCTGCTGTTTCAGTGTCAACAAGTATACACTAATTTCTTTTGTTTTTGGCACAATGGTTGTGAACGTTCAAACCCTAGCTGAAGTTTTTAGATAACCCTCAGTTTTAACTTGATTCTATTAATTTTGAGCATTACAGAGTCAAAGCACATCATGTATATGTTCGTGTGTGTGTGTGTGTGTGTGTGTGTGTGTGTGTGTGTATATATATATATATATATATATATATATATATATATATACACATATATATATATATATATATATATATTCTCCAGTCCGAACGACATTGGAATGTCGTTCGGACTGGAGAAGTGTAGTCGGATGGTAACAAAGAGAGGGAAGGTAGTCAGAACTGAGGGGATTGAACTACCAGAAGGCAACATTGCAGACATAGAGGACAGTTACAAGTACCTGGGGATCCCGCAGGCAAATGGGAACCATGAAGAGGCCGCTAGAAAGGCTGCAACCACCAAGTACCTGCAGAGGGTCAGGCAAGTCCTGAGGAGTCAGCTGAATGGTAAGAACAAGATCCGGGCCATCAACACATACGCCCTGCCCGTGATCAGGTACCCTGCTGGGGTAATAAGCTGGCCAAAGGAGGAGATAGAAGCCACTGACATAAAGACAAGAAAGCTCCTGACCATGCATGGAGGGTTTCACCCCAAGTCCAGCACCCTGAGGCTGTACGCTAAGCGGAAGGAAGGGGGCCGGGGACTGGTGAGTGTCAGCACCACAGTCCAGGATGAGACAAGGAACATCCAAGAATACATTGGGAAGATGGCCCCAACTGACCGAGTGCTCAGTGAATACCTCAGGCAGCAGAAACCCAAGAAAGAGGAGGGAGACGAGGAACCATCATGGAAGGACAGGCCCCTGCACGGTATGTACCACCGGCAGATAGAGGAGGTGGCTGATATCCAGAAATCCTACCAGTGGCTGGACAAAGCTGGACTGAAAGACAGCACAGAGGCACTAATCATGGCAGCACAAGAACAAGCTCTGAGTACAAGATCCATAGAGGCTGGGGTCTATCACACCAGGCAAGACCCCAGGTGCAGGCTGTGTAAAGATGCCCCAGAGACAATCCAGCACATAACAGCAGGGTGCAAGATGCTAGCAGGCAAGGCATACATGGAACGCCATAACCAAGTGGCCGGCATAGTGTACAGGAACATCTGTGCCGAGTATAACCTAGAAGTCCCGAGGTCAAAATGGGAGATGCCCCCAAGGGTGGTGGAGAATGACCGAGCTAAGATCCTGTGGGACTTCCAGATACAGACGGACAAAATGGTGGTGGCTAACCAACCGGACATAGTGGTGGTAGACAAACAGAAGAAGACGGCCGTAGTGATCGATGTAGCGGTTCCCAATGACAGCAATATCAGGAAGAAGGAACACGAGAAGCTGGAGAAATACCAAGGGCTCAGAGAAGAGCTCGAGAGGATGTGGAGGGTGAAGGTAACGGTGGTCCCCGTGGTAATCGGAGCACTAGGTGCGGTGACTCCCAAGCTAGGCGAGTGGCTCCAGCAGATCCCGGGAAAAACATCGGAGATCTCTGTCCAGAAGAGCGCAGTCCTGGGAACAGCTAAGATACTGCGCAGGACCCTCAAGCTCCCAGGCCTCTGGTAGAGGACCCGAGCTTGAAGGATAAACCGCCCGCAGGGGCGTGCTGGGTGTTTTTTTATATATATATATATATATATATATATATATATATATACATATATATATATATATATATATACATATATATATGCAGACTACAGTGGCTTCCAGCTTGATGTCAGCTCTCCTGAGCCAGCTGAAGCTAACCACACTGTCACAAACACAAGAGTATCAGTGTTACCATGTAACTGAGCTTGGTGTCTATCCAGGTCAGTTAATGTTAGAAATGATAGTTGGAACTACATGTTATATGTATATGAAGTCACATGAGTTTTGTTACATTCTGCAAACCCCAGGTGCACCATGCTTCATGGCTTCCTCAGCACGGAGACTGTGTAGGAGTTAATCTCAAAGGCAATAGGATTAGATTTTCTTATACACAAATAGATTTAGCTACAGGCCAGTTAAATCCTACTTCACCAAAGAGCTCGTACAGATCAGAAGCTTAGTGGTTGTTACAGGACACTGCCATATTTTGAGTTGTAGACTGGAGTTAGTCTGCTCTAGTTTTCCAGCCTTCTGGGAGTTGTGGGAATTTGCATTAACATAAATATTAGTAGGGGCACATTAATGAAATAATGGGTATAACTTATGTTTATTTTCCTTAATTCAGAACTCGGTATTTGAATTAAGTGAATGATGTGGATTAATTTTTAGTAAATGGTCAGACTACTTCAGCATGTGTGATGGACATGTTTCTTTTGATGTCAGCATCAAAAGACAGCTACAGTGAGGCTCAGCTTATCTGGTACTGAGGCTATTTGTATATAAACGATCTGTGATAATTGTGTAAATCCAGACAACAAGTCAATAGAAAGGACCTTTGTAACTTTGTAACTGAAGATGCTTCTTTGATGAGAGGTGTCTTTACCAACTGAAGTCGATCTGCCTATTTTTTTCAAGCATTTAAGACTACCATGACCTGAATGACTGAGGAGCTACACAGAGATATGACACACTGGAGAGATGTCTTTTGGAAGGCTTACGCATGCATTAATGTTCTGCATGCATTGATGGATGGATGATTGCATGCTCTTTTTGTAATTTGAAGCCTATCTTCAATTAAAATATCTAAGAAAAAATATGATTACTAACATTAGAAAACTCTCATACAGAAAACGGTGTTCATTAAGATTCAGATAATGAAACGACCCAGAGGTTCAGTCAGAGTTCCTTTATAATACACCGGGGACTGGCTTTCTCAGGTGTGCTGAAATTGGGTCAGCTCCACCTACTAGATACCTGAAAGCAACAAGAAAACAAGGCCAGCACACTGGCTGTCACATATTTCAAATGATGTGATGTGGATCATTTTTACATTTTTGCTTCTTTATTTTTTCTCTCTACTTTGTATTATGATTATTCGGTTCATTTCTGTTGATATATTGCCAGTTCAAAACAAAAGTTAACTCAAGTCACTTTACATTGCAAGATCAAGATTAAACAATATTAGAAGACCCTAAGACATATCTTCTTAGTTGTAGCTGAGCGATGTACATAGGAGAATGGATGGCTCGATTACTGCAAACACAACGACTTATTGGTACAAATAACATAACACAAACTTGTCTGCTTCTTCTATCCACTGACTCCCTTTTTTGTGCTTTGTACTTCTCTTTTCTTCAGATGAACCAGTGCTTTACATTCAACAGGGATGAGCAGAAGGACAGAGAGGTATTTATAACATTTCCTATTTATACACATAGGGCAAATAATTAATTGATCCCCTGCTGAACTGATAAGTTCAGCAGGGGATCATCTGGATCGAAATACTTCAGCTTGTCCTTTCCAGTCTGTTTACATTTTTTTTAATGTTCTGTGTAATTCAGTTTCATCTGAAAAAAAAATTGGCTAAGGATTAATCATTTCTTTGGATGTACCAACATGCTTTATGCTTTCCTTTGTATACTCGCCTGTTTTAGGAAGGAAAGTTACAAAAGGTATGAATAACCAATGAACACCATGTTGTGCTCTTCCATTAGAAACCTAGAACCCACAATTTATCTTCAACTTGTGACTCTTTCTGGATGGGGTCCTGTTAAGAATTCATTATAGGATATAAATAATTCATGAGATGAAAATGACAGTGGGAGTGATTTACTTCTCGGGGATTATCAAATGCTTGTAAGGATCTGTGTGTTTAACCAGAGGAAAAGTAATGATCTGCTCTTAAATGGCAGTGATTGGCCAGCTGTGAATAGATTACATCCCATAATTGTGAAGTTGATAGGGTCGCTCTTGTTACGTCAGTTGAAGGTTCATAAACACTGGCCTAACAAAATGCTGTCAGATTTGGACAGTATTCACTGCTCTTTGATTTCTCAAGGTAACTGTGACTGAAGTCATTGTGTTTCATCTATGATCTGTACACACTGTTTGCTGGTGTCGGGGAGGCTGAGGGAGTTGCAGCTTGTTTCAGTGTTCAAAAGACAGGGAGAGCTGGAGATTCAGTCAAAGTGGCTTTATAATGCAAGGGGACTGGCCTTCTCAGGTGTGCTGCATCTATAATTGGGTCAGCTCCACCTACCAGATACCGGAAAGAGACAGGCAACAAGAAACCAAAAAAACAAGGCGAGCTCACTGGCTGTCACAGGTACATTACTGAAGGGGCACACACTTTGTGTCCAAACCAGTATGTACATTGTAATAAATATTTCCAGAATTATTTGCCAGACAAGATAAGCTAAAATGCTAAATGTGATTTTCTATAGATTGTTTGCCAAAGTTACAAAGAAACATATTCTTGTTTGTTTGCTGCTGTTCACAATCAAAACATCAGTGCTTCCACCATACTGTTTCAGGAGAGCCAGACCTCATAATATGTACATGTATATACACAGGTATATACACAATTTTAATAAAACTTTTAATTTGAAATGTGGTTTAGTTTATTACAAGTTCTTCAGCTGTTCCTCAGCTGGATCCATGATACCATATACCAATATATAAGGTAAGCAACTTGTTGTAAAACACTTAAAAATGAGTAACATGTCAAAGAAAACCCAACAAACCACCCAAACCCTGATGGTATTACTCCATCATTTAAGCCAGTTTACCTTCCTGTCAAATGAGAGCTGCAGACTAGTCACAGACTGTTAGTGTTTTTTTCCATCTCTGACTCGACTACTTAACACAATAACACCTACAGCACATACAGAAATAAATACAAACAGAATCCAAGTGGAAGGCTCACGGTCTGTTATTTTAGCATAGCAGTCATTTTTAATTTAAGGTACAAACATGCCGGATTCATTTTTCAACCCTGAAGGCTGCTGTTTCCTCAGCTCACACACGTCTGGTGAAAATTTGTTGGAAATTTCTTACACGTACTGAACTATTTATAACAGAATTCTTGGGAATGGGGATTTTTATCTGTCTGCCAAATAAATCTGTCTGGCAATTAATATTAAGATTATTGGCACTAGTGCTCGACAGGGGATGAATCACACGGCCTTTTCCCTGCAGTAAGCTCAGGATAAACAGAATAGGAAATGGAAAACCAGCTCTTATAGGTTGATTCTGTTGTAAAATGAATAGTTAAATGTTTACCTGTTCTAACATTTCCTTAGCGTTATATTAGAATACTCGAGTAAGTGATATATTATATAATGTTGGAGTAAATCCAGGATAAATTGTGGGTTTTTGTCAGTATGTCACGGCGAGTGAGGTGAGCCGTGTGGAGGCAATGAAGGAGGATCCAAACGCAGGCAGTCGTGAAGGTGTGAAGGTGGTTTATTGAGCATGAAAGTAAATACAAACGGCAAAGGGAGCTATGACTAACTAGACTGGGAACAAACTAACTACAGAACACGAACCTGAACATGAGCAGAAACACTTAGCGGTTGACAGCAGGGAAACACACAGATGACGCAGGGTGGAATACACAGACGGACCAGCAACTACAATGACGGCAGACATGACTTAAATACACGGAGAATCACAGGGGAATTACACACAGGTGGTGGACACAGCTGGGAATGATCACAAGACGAGACAAAGGTAAAACTGAACACACTCACATGAGACGCAGACCATCACAATAAAACAGGAACAAGAAACCATCACACTAACACAAACTCGACAGAGAGACAGACAGACAATGGCACATGGAGCTAGACAAATACTAAGCAGACACAACCGAAGAACAAATCCTAAACACCACAGAAACATGAAACTCAAATAATAAACATCATCATCATCAACACTACAAGAGAACAAGAAAACAATCCCTGATGCAAACTAAAACATAATAAAACTCAAACTACTGGGTCCAATGGACCCAGAACCGTGACACAGTAGATGTAAACACACTTAATCAGTTCAAAGGTTTAAAGAAAACTACAAATAGGTGTGAGATCACAATGGCAATAGTTTAATGGAATCCAATGGGAATTATGAAATGAAGACCTTTGATTTATTCATTTGCTTGAACACTAATCATGCTGGCATATTAGTTTTGATTGTAAGAAGATATTCTGATGATACATAACACAAGAACAAAAACTAATGAGAAAGAAGCAGTTCTGAAGATTAGAAAAAAGAAATCTGGTTTATCATTAAGTATATTGCTGCAAATTCATTCATGGCCTAAACCTCATACAGTTTATTCAGTATTGATGAAAGTCAATCTTTGAACTGATTAAGGTGAATAGCTGAGAAGATAGAACATTAGAACATTTATTGATTAGTTTTATTGTGATTTTGTATCTAATACACCTGCAATTCATTCAGAAAGCAGTAAATATCTAAAAATGTACTTAAACAAACCAATATTTCTGCATTTAGCAGCTTTATCCTTTAAAAAAGCATCTGAAAATGTTTTTAAACAGTATGATTTAGATTCTGTTTGAGAAAATGTATCTGGTTTTGGAAACCACACTGTTTTCCAAAGTGTTTTCCTCTCTGATAAATAGAAGAACAGTTTTATTCCTATAAAAGGAAGCATTTCATCCAGTAGGAAACAGACCCAAACAGAAACTGTAGTTGATTGTTAAGGTGGAAAAGAAAGGTGAGTTTGTTCAGTGCTAAAGGTTTAGGTTTATTTAAGGTGAAGCTAAAGTTCTATTGCATGGCTTCTTTATCCAATAATCATGTGCCCACACTAAGCATACACCTATTTGAAGGTCTGCTAAGCTGTCCTGCTTGTAGATGTGCATGACAGCTTAGGAAACTTTTTAGCAACCTTTGTAGCTCCTTGCATTCGGTCACTACAATGTGGGGCTTTTTATCAAGGAAACCCCTTGACATTGGACCGTTATCATTAGCACTACAAATACTTTGTCACTATCGGTAAGACTGCTGTTTAGTATGTAGTGTTTTTCATGTTTCAGTTTTCAATGTACAGTTTCATCTGTTGTGTTACCCATCCTCAGTAAGAAACAGCAATCATTTGTTCACCACTGGCTGTAGGTCGAACTCACTGATCTGTTATTTTCTGTAACACATTTCACTTTGTTGGCAGTCTTAAGACGGTCATGATTTCATTACAATTAGTCAGAAAATGATCTTAAAAACAGAAGCGTTATACTGCAAATGGATCAAAAATCAGTTCTAACATTGCCTGACTTAAAATGTGTGATGGACATTCATTCAGACTGAGGTCAGAAGCTGCAGATATAGCTGTCAGATTTGGTGTTTCATTTTTCAACAGTTTAAAATGTAAATCTGCCTATTTAAATAAATGTATGTGTCTATTTGCACAAAAAAGGAAGGTGTACTCTGTTGATGAACATCAATAGCCTACAGTCTAATACAATTTCTGTTCTGTTTCTACTGTTCCTCCACACACACACACACACACACACACACACACACACACACACACACACACACACACACACACACACACACACACACACACACACACACACACATATATATATATATATACATATACATACATACATGTATATGTGCAACGCAGCATCTGGGGGAGTTAGTGCTCGGTTTCCTGGACCGGGAGTTGCAGCCTTCCTGTCTGCTGGCCTGTCTGGAAACGGTTCGAATCCTGTCCAGAGATAAAAATTGCCTGGACCCATTCACCAACCAATTCGCCATGTCCACTCTTGCCCGCTATGCTAGCATTGCTGTGGACAGTGCTACCACACCTGCCCACAGCCAGTCAGTGGATGGCCAAGGTAATTAATATTGCTAGGTATCAATCCTTTTTTTTTTTGCATCATCTTTCCAGAGCAAGAAAGGATTGTATTTTAGGTTTTGAGAATTCAAAGATGTAATTCCAAATATATTGTTATGAAGACTTGTTTTGATTTTGAAGATCTAACAGTTAAATTCCATTTTCACTCTCAGTTTCATCAGTTCAGAAACATAGACTTTACTTAGGAAACCTACGTAGGTATAACAAATACTGTTCCTGAATTAGCTTTTTGTGACAGTTCTGTCAAGGCTCTCATCCTTGTTGCTTGCATATTCTACCACCTTTTTTGCCATCAACTTTCCATGAATATGCTTCAATACAGACAGTATATGAACAGACAGACCCTCTGTAGCTTAGGGGCCTCAGTCACACAAGAGGACAAATAGATTGGCACCTCTGTGCAACCACAAAAAACTGATGGTTAGTGAGTGAATTTTTTTGCGATTGCACAGGTTACCTGGTGGGAGGCAATGTGTCTCAGTTTGACTCAGACTGACTGCAGTCATTCTCAGACAGATTGGTCCATCATTATTTTCTCCAAGTGAGGAGACAATGTAGAAGCCCCACATTGAGCAGAGCAGGTTCAGCTCTCAGGCACTCACAATCAAATGCAACAGTACAGTTTAACATGGCAGAATTAGATCCCCCAGCCATGTAGCCTTATTTGGTGAGCTGTACCACTTCCAGATTGTGATGTGAAAGAATCTAAAAACTCAGGAGGGTTAAAGACAGAAATAATAGTTAATTAATAGTTAGTTAACTAGTTGTTTAGTACATTCGTAAGAAAACGACATGCAGGATGTGCAGAGTGTTGATGAGGAGACACTAAAATGCAGATACTAAGAGGCAGGATAACAAAAGGTTAGGTGTTTATTAGGCCAGTTATACTGTTTAACTAGTAATTTACTCAACTATTATTCTAAACTGAATGTTTCATGAGCTATCCCAGCTCATGAAAATCAGAGGTCATGGGACCCATCCCAGCTGGCACAGTGCGAGCTTTTTGAATTAAATAATAAAAAAACTTTTTTGAGATGTATTTTATTGAGATGTATTATGCACAAAAGAAATCCAGTTCTTTGTCCCCTAAACGTTGTATACTGTCACGGTTAGCAGGGCAAACCGTGTGGAATTATTAAAGGACCCAAGATGCAGGCATTACTGAAGTGAGGGAGCTTTATTAATGGAGAGTGAACATACAAAAAGGCGAGGGGGCTGAAAACAGAACTGAGAAAACATAAACTCGGAAAACTAAGCAAAAACAAACCTTGAAACAGAGATGCAGGGAGACACAGAAAATGATGCAGGATGATGCAGGGAAAGAACACAGAATGACGGATGGAAATAATGCAGATGAACCAGCAATGCACACGAGAAACAGGAGGGAGACACGGCTGGGAGTAATTGGACATAACGAGACAAGAGGAAGTGAAACTAGAAACACTGACGAGAGACACAGACCTACAAAATAAAAAAAGAACTCACACATGCAAAGACACAGACTAAGAAACACGGACTTGACACAGGGGCATACACAGGCAGAAATGACTAGACATTAACTGAGGAAGAACAGAACCAAAAACCAAAGAGCTAGAAAACCAGAACCAAAATACATCACAATAATAGAAAACACAAAACGCTGGGTCAAAAGACCCAGGATCATGACATATACTTTATAATCTTTCTCCTCCATCAATAAACATCATGGATTAGCTGAAGGGAGTTCATGTTGTTGGCAGACCAAGCTAAACAAAATTGCAAATCTTTCTTTTCTTAGAAGAGGATGCGGGAGGAGACGAGGAAGAGACGGGACTATGTAGTAAAGTGCTGAAAGAATCTTCCCCTCCTTCAGAAAATCCTGACCAGGAAGTGATTGTTGAGGCACTCAAGTCCATCTGCAACATCCTGCTGCACAATGAGACAGGACAGGTCAGTCTGCTGTGCCTTGCATTCCTCAGATTAACACATTTTAATTGGTTGGTGATAATCTATAAAATCTGACTGGATTTCTGTCACTGGGTTGATGTCAGATGGTAGCAGCAGATCTGCAGCTAATTAAAGGTGTGGCAGAGAGATTGAAACAGTGTCATGATCCTACTTGGAACTATGAGGTATGACCATTACTCAGACAGATAGCTCTTTAATGTGAGATTTTCCAAATGTAGAATTATTTGTTGTGTTCACTGTAGAGTCAAACAAAAATGGCAGCACTGGGAATCAAAGAAAAAACACAGCACCATGAAGACACTATCAGAATAAACAGGAAGTAGCTGACAAGGGCCATGTTACACCAACACAGACTTAATGGGAAATACAGGGAAAGCACAAAAGCACAATAAGTAAAATGAAGCTTGAAGGCAAACTGAGGAAAGACACAGAGAAGCTCTAAAGCAGAGACTTAAAACATCAAGACCAAACCAGAGTAATCATGATGAGTCAAAATTTAGTCTCCAAACACAATCTCTGGGTCAGAGACCAAGCACTATGACAACTGTAATGAAAATGTTTCTTTAATGCATTTTTAAAGGAGTACTATAGCTGGCAGATGTAGTTTTTGAAGCGTATTTGTTACTGAATATTTGCTAGAATGCAACATATGCATTCAAAATAAGGTTTCTCTTCACAGGTACGTTTCTTTGACTTGCGCCTAACCTTCCTGCTGACTGCCCTAAGAGTGGATGTCAGGGCACAGCTGGCTCAGGAGCTTCATGGTGTCAGCCTTCTAGGTGATTTGTTACCTTTTCCAAGGATGTTGTGTGATTGGTTTAGCTTTCTTTGTTTCTTTGTTGGATGAATATGGAAAAACAAATATGAGAGGTGGACCTTAGCCCAAAAGATGGAGTCAGATCTGAAGCTGACTAAAGTTCAAAAACCCATTCATTTTATTTTCATTTCATTAAAAAAAAAAAAAGGTTAAAAAACCCCCAAAACAAACAAACATTATCAGGAAAGCATCCAGATGAAGTAAATTTGGTAAAGACATGGTACAATTAAGCAAACCTAAAGAACCTGTTGATAACTTGTGTCTTGTCTGTAATTCAAGGAAACCACTTGGAAGCCACACTGGGTCTATGCTGCTCAGGGACCCTGGAGACAGCAAGAGCAGGTTTTGAAGGCATCCCGACCGAAGAGCTGCCCCCACTGAGCCGGCAGCAGACAGAACTAGCTATGGAGATACTGAAAATACTATTCAACATCACGTTTGACATAAACAGACGCAAAGTTGATGAGGTAACGAAGCAAATTAGATTAATTAGGAGAGAGTCACAAGATTTAAACATTTTGTTGTAAATTCAAAGAAAGATGAGAGTTCTCATCATGACTGGTGAACAACTTGTGTCTGATGTATATGTGAAGGAAGAGGCAGCTGTGTACAGACATTTGGGAGCCATACTGAGGCACTGTCTAATGAGCCACGCTGATGGAGAGGAGCGGACTGAAGAGTTTCACAGGTGATTCTCTGTTCTCTGGTTACTTGATTTATATAGTCATTGCTCCCCTGTGACGCCACGCCCTTCATTCCTTTGTCCTTTCTTTTTTCAGCCATACTGTGAATTTACTAGGTAACCTCCCTCTGCCTTGTTTGGATGTATTATTGATGCCCAAGGTGCAGCAAGGTTCCATTGAATATATGGGTGTCAACATGGATGCTGTGAACACGCTGCTAAAATTCATGGAGAAAAGACTTGACCGGGTAAGACGAGCCACAAGTGCATGCTGTTGGTGGTTCATTACCTCTACAGTTAATATGAAATAAAAGCTGAGGTGCACTAAAGTATATCTAACATAAATTCATAACAAATTGCTATGTTGTTGACAAAGGCATGTTTACTACAAACCAGGCTGAGCGTGTCTCATTTGCTGCCCTCAGATCCACATTGTAGATCATTACATTTGAAAAGTCTTAAACCGGTTGTTTAAAATGTGCTCTAATAATCCACATTTTAGCTGCTTTCCTACAACTGACAAGTTTGCATGTCTGTCTGTCTCAAAGGGTCATAAGCTGAAGGAGACCCTTCTTCCATCACTGAACTTGTTGACCGAGAGTGCCCGTATCCACAGAGAGACCAGGAAGTTCCTCAGGTCAAAAGTCAGTTATTCATCTTACAGAGATTATCTCTGAACATTTTAGCTATTTTGATTGTTCTTGTATGTTTATATGTTTATGTGTGGGTTGTGTTTTAGGTGCTGCCACCACTACGTGATGTGAAAAACAGGCCAGAGGTGGGCAACACGCTGAGGAATAAAATAGTCCGCCTTATGACCCTCATTGACACTGACGTCAAGGACTGTGCGGCTGAATTCCTCTTTGTTCTCTGCAAAGAAAGTGGTGAGAGAGAGTGATGCAAAATCACTTTTTTGATGAGAGAGAAGCAATCACTAAGGTACAAAGGTGATGTTAAAGTCACTCCACCTTCTCTCCAGAAAAAAATAAGTTCACACTGAACCTTTAAAACCACAAATTCCTGAATAGCTCCTCCTGAATACTGGAGTGAGTGTACTGGGTCATTTCATCTAAAATTAGTCAAATATGAGAAAAAAATTCAGTTAACTTTTTGTTGTGCACTAACTTTAGCAAATCTTTGATGATCAACATGTTCTGTCATGATAACCAAGAATGCATCAAAGCAAGTTTTCCCGTGAGCATGTTAAGCTTGTATATTTAATATAAATTAAGATAATTGGAAGAGTCATAGCCCGTCTGTGAGGATATGTGCAACAAGACAACTTTCTGCAGAGATCTGCCATGGCAAAGTATATACATGTAACTGTAATGATTAAACACCTTGCAGCAAGAACTAGCTTGCAACAAACATAATGTGATCACATCCTGACTACACAGAAACTCTTTGAAAGGTCCAGCTGAGCCGGCAACATTACTGACAACAGAGAAGGTTTATGGAACTTTTTAAACTAGCAAGACCGTCCCTGGAAACAGCTGTTTCAGTTCATCAAATCAAGCTGAAACCCACCAGGTTGTCTGCAAAGAAAATAAAACTACCTTTAAGATCGTGAATACGTTAAGAACTACGAGTTAATGCTAGTCAGTACCCAACACTGTTGGCATCTTATAATATTTCTAGATGTTAAGAACAAAGTCTTTGTTAAACAGTATTTTTTTGCTACATTTTCAACAATAGAAGGGACAGTTGCATGCCATCTGATGGAAACAGTGGAAACAGACAGAACGAGTACCCGACACTAACTAAATTTAAAAGATTCTCAAACAAAGGACTGAAGGCTCCAAATAGCTGTACATAAAAATGTTATATTGGAAGATTCTTTTAATACAGAGTAATCACAATTCAAGGATTCAAGAAGCTTTATTGTCATTCGCATCACATGTTTACATGAGGTGGAACGACATGATGTACACACGGTCCCAGAGCGAATAGAAACAGAATAACGAAGAAACTGAATTTTAAAAAAGTAATAAATAAATAGTTGTTGTTTTTTAAACAAAACAGAATAACAAGTAATAGAATAACACGATAAATAATATGATAAATAGAGTGCAACAACCTGACTACCAGTATGGAGTATGGATATAGAATGTAGGTATAAATACTTTAGCAGCAAAAGGGCATGATGACCCGCATTGATAAAATGACAGTGTCAGTAAGTGTCAGTAGTGATTAAGGTGCTACAATATCAGTTCTTGTCCATTTATGCACTGAGAAGTCTCACAGCATCTGGAATGAAGCTGTTTCTCAGTCTGGTGGTTTTGCATTTAATGCTCCTCAGCCTCCTGCCTGAGGGGAGCTTGACGAAGAGTGTGTGTGCTGGGTGAGTGGGGTCCTTCATGATACAGGTGGCCCTCTTCCTGCATCTGGAGGTGTATACGTCTGTGATGGTTGGGAGGCTGCCTCCGACAACTCTCTGTGCAGCCTTCACCACCCTCTGTAGCACCCTACGTTTCTCAAGTAAAAGAAATGTAGGTAAAGGAAGACCTTCCATATTGCATAGTGTGTTTCACCCAATAAGATTATAAATCGTCTGAGGTATGAGACTGAGGCAGAACCCAAGTGCACTTCAGCTTGAGGTGGTGAACAGCTAGCCAGACATCCTCTTTCAGGATTCACTTTTTCACTCAGGGCCAAGTGGGTCTGGATTTTTTTTCACCCTTAATTATGAACACCTTCATTTAGAAACTGCATTTTGTGTTTCCTTGTCTTGTCTTTGTCTGCTATTTAAATTTGTTTGCTGATCTGAAACATTTAAATGTAACAAACATACGGGAAAACAGGAAGGGGACGAACATTTTTCGCACTGTTGTAAATATATAAAAAGTTTTGTTTCTAAAGACATTTTTAGGTGTAAAATTGATTTGGTTGCGTTTTTTAGTAGAAACTAAAGTTCATCCATAAAAATGTCACGTAGCTATTTCCTGTACTTATGAAGTTACGAGAATTCATAAATGCTGGAAAAATTAAGGTGACTTAAAAAGAGCCAACTTTGAACCTGCTCTGATAGACTTTGAAGGCCAGTTTTTATAGTATGAAGCATCTCTTCACTGGACATGCTTAGACAAAAAATATCAGCTTATTTTGAGGTCGTCAGGTGCATAAATGATCCTAATTTCATTGCTCTTTTTATTGTGCTAGAATGCTGCCATTTTAACAGTAATATGCTCTCTTTCAAGTTTCAAGGTTCATTAAGTATACTGGATATGGCAATGCTGCAGGCCTGCTGGCTGCCAGAGGACTGCTTAGAGGAGGTAAAGACCCTGGAATCTACTCCGAGGATGAGGACTCTGAGACAGAAGAGTACAGAGAGGCCAAAGCCCAGTCAGTACCAACAGAACACTATGTCAGCTCCTTATCAAAATTTCTACTTTGCATTTTTAACAACTTAAGGAGGATCATAAGTTGTAGCTGGAAATCGAAGGGGTGGGGGGGTGTATTGAATGTTGTCAGTGTGTGTGCATCACGGGGTGTATGCACACAGGGAATTCTGGAGGAAGTTGGATGAAGTGGTAGAGAGTGTCCCACGGGAGGGAGAGAGCGGTGATTAGAGCAGAATTCATTAGACATGCAGGTGAAGGGAACAGAATGTAGCTAGGCAACACCAGATTGTGGTCTGTAGTCTGTAGGATGACTATGAAATCAAGAAGAGGAAGTATGTGAAGAGAGAGGCGAGGATTAAATGATGGAAGCTGAATAAGGAAGAATATTACATAGAGTTCAGTGAAGAGTTGAAGCAGGCTCTGGGTGGTAGGGAAGAGTTATCAAATGACTGGGAAAGGACTGCTGAAGTGATGAGAGAAAGTGCCAACGATGTATTTGGTGTATCCTATGGACACAGAAAAGAGGACAATGAGACTTTGTGTTGTAATGAGGAAGTACAGGAAAGTATTCAAAGGAAGAGGTTGGCAAAGAAAAAGCAGGATAGTCAGGGAAGTGAAGAAAGTAAACAGGACATAAGATGAAATATATTTACAACTAAGTGATGACTATGAGTGGTGACTAGTGTTTGATGTGGCTGAGGATGTATAGGGATGTATGTATGTATCATTTATAATATGTTATAATATGGTGTTTGGTAAAGGTATAATACAAAACAAATGAAGAATAGAATAGGACAGAATAGCTTTTTAGTGATATTGTACATCCATCCATCCATCCATCTATCTTCTTCCGCTTTATCCGGGGCTGGGTCGCGGGGGCAGCAGCCTAAGCAGAGAAGCCCAGACCTCCCTCTCCCCAGCCACCTCCTCTATCTTGTCCGGGGGAGCACCAAGGCTGGATCGTCTTTGGCTGCTGGTTAAGTCAATATTGTTTGGAGAGATATAAAACCTGCAGCTTCAGAATCGCACGCAAAAAGGACGTAAACACAAAGCGCCCACCGACGCTTCAAAATCAGTGAGCTGTCGGCTTTCAGCCCCGACGGCGTGTCCGTGTCCGCGTACGTGCCGTCGTGTGAGAAAGGCAACATCTCACTGATTCGGATGCGTTGTGTCCGCGTTTTTGTGTTTACGTCTTTGTGCAGAATCCGTGTACCTGCTCTGGTTGTAGAAATCTTGTGAGGTTTAACCTGAGATTCTGGCGTTCTGGGCAAAATAAATTTGTTTTAATGAATCGATATCATGTTATCCAAGCCAAAATCGATTTTAATCGATAAATCAATAATCAAAACCCACCCCTACCTCAGCTGAATTCTTTTTACATCTTTGTTTGTTTGTTACGCACATTTAGCTTTTTTAAAGAAAATATATTTCTGTTTCCCTGCAGAATCAACCCAATAACAGGAGTTGTAGAAGAGGAGCAGCCCAATCCCATGGAAGGAATGACAGAAGAGCAAAAGGAATATGAAGCCATGAAGTTGGTCCACATGTTTGACAAACTGTCAAGGTCACTAAAAGCACACACAGTCACACAAGTAACCTGCACTGGTCAAGTTGTTGTCTTCAACAGAAGCCTTTAATGCTATGGTGTAATATGTAAAAGTTCAGCCCTGAAATGCCTAAAAAGTACCAGGTTAATGTAATATATTTGGTTGAGATGAACACTTATATCTAAAATATGATTGTTGAGAATATTTTGCAGTAATCATTAATACCATCACAGTGAAATAAGTGTGAACATGTCACCGATTTTCTAAGTAAATATTTTACTAAAGGTGCTATTGACGTGAAATTTGCACCAGATGTTGGTAAAAACTCATCCAGTTCACACATGCAGAGAAACCAAACCATAGATGTCCATCAATTAAATTATGTGTGATAATGAGAAATGACACACGGAAAAAGTATTAAACACGTGAAGAAAAAGACGTGCAAAAAGGCATAGGAAGTCATGACACCAGCTGAAATTATCAGTAACTTGAAAGCAGTCCTGCCACTTAGTTCAAATTAGTCTCAACTGATGACTTATAAAAATGCCTCACTGGTTTATCATGATGGATAAACCAGTGAGCTCTCTCAAGACCTTTGCAACCTTATTGTTGTGAAACATACTGATGTCACTGGATACAGAAGAATTTTGAAACTACTGAAGGTTCCAGTGAGCGCTGCTGGTGCCAACATCGGGAAGTGGAAAGAACATAATTTTACCATAATCAGCCAGGTGTTCCCCACAGGATTTCAGACAGAGGCATGAAAACAATTATCAGAAGAGTTGTTCAAGAGCCATGGAGCATTTGTGGAGAGCTACAGAAAGACTTGGAATCAGCAGGTACAATTGTTTCAGAGAAAACAATCAGTAATGCACTCAACTGCCATGGCCTGTATGCATGCTCACCATGTAAGACTCCGCAGCTGAAGAGAAAGCATGTTGAAGTGCAGAAGAACATTTAGACAAGGCTGTTTAATACTGGGAGAAATTTGAGCTCTTTGGATGCCATAATACACACCATATCTGGAGGGCATAAAGCACTGCAGATATACTAACAGTGAAGTTTGAAGGTGGGAACAACATTGTGTAGCACTGGCACGCTTCACATAATTGAATCAAGGATAAATGGAAAAATGTACCAAGACATTCTTGATTTAAAAAAAAACATCTTCCAGGATGATGAAGATGATGAAGGGCAGATGTTTCAGCAAGACAAAGATCCCAAACACTCAGCCAAGGAAACTTTCAATTTGCTTCAGAGAAAGGGAGAAAAAAGCTGCTAGAAATGCCCGAATCCAATTGAAGATCTATGGAAAGAACTAAGGCTCAGAGTTTATAGAAGGGGCCCACAGACTGTTTGTGTGGAAGAATGGGCCAAAATCACACCTGAGCAATACAGATGACTAGTTGCTCCACACTTGAAGATGTTATCATCATCAAAGGCTTTTGAACAGATTAAATAAATGTTAGGAAACGCGTTGAATACTTTTTCCATGTCCATAGCACCTTTAGAAATATATTTACTTAGAAAATAGCAATTTTTTTTTTTAGTGCTTAGTTTACCCACTGTATATATTTATTTCTGTTGTAATACTTATCCTGCAGAAACCATTTAATACAGCCCATGCAGCTCGGTATGGATGGGACAATGACAGAGATGACTACAGAGGATCCCCATAAACTGACCAACAAGCCATTGCTCCAGTCAGAAGACCCTCCTAATTTAGACAGTGAGGATGAAAACTGAAGAAGGAAACGAATTCCATCCATGACAATCCTAAAAAAATCTGTGTCACTATTTAAGCGATTCATATATCATAAGTATAATTTTGTCGCATTTTGCCCAATTTAATTGGCGAGGAAAGAAAATGTTAATTTGTTTAGTAAATATCAGAAACCGGTACACAAGAAGCCACTTAAATGATCATAAACTCGAATACAGAATTCAGGTAATTTTACAAGGATGATTATTTTAATAGGAATAGTTTTTTCATCCAAGATATTTATGTTCAATAAAATATAAAAATGTAATTACTAGGTTGTGTTATGAAGCACTTAACTGACAACAAGTGGAAGAGAAAATTCCTTAAACACTTTATATAAGGGAAAGATGTCAGGGGACAATGTAGCTAGCAAGCATCAGATGGTCGTTTGTATGGCTGTGGGCATGATCAAGAGGAAGTGAGTGAAGTCAGGGGAGAGGTTTAGGTGGTGGAAGCTGAAGAAGGAAGAATGATGTGCAGTGTTCAAGGCTGAGTTGATACAGGTGGTAGGAAGTGTTGCTACTTGACTGAGAAAGTACAGCTGTAGTGGTGAGGGAAACTGGCAGAAGGGTATTTGGAGAGATTGAGTTAGAAAAGATATGAAGCAGGTTTGGGTGAGTAAAGATAGTGATGGAAATGTAATGAAGAGAATGTGTTCAGGAAGGAGAAGCTCATCAATGAAGAAAACGAGAAAGGACAGAAGTCAGTTGGTGAATCAGGAAGTGTAAAGGATTAGAAAGGAGGAAGGAAAGGGCAGCTATGAAGAGGATGAAGCAACGTGCCTGTGGAGGTTTGGAGATGTCAGGGAGAGAGGGCAGTAGACTGTTTAACACGATCCTGGATAGTGGTAGGATGCCTGAGGGATGGACAAGTAGCATACAAGTCCTGATTTCAATAACAAGAGTAATGTGCAGAGCTGTCCTAAGTACAGATTGGTAAAGTTGATGCCACCATACCATGAAAATATGGAAAAGAGTTGTTGAAGCTAGGCTGAGAGGAGATGTGGCAGCAAGGACCAGTACAGCTTCATACAGAGAGCACTACAGATGCAATATTTTTTTCTTTAGAGTTTTGATGGAGAAGTATGGAGCAGGTAAGATGGAGCTGCACTGTGTGTTTGTGGCTCTGAAGAAAGCATAAGACGCAGTGTGAAGAGGCACACAGGAGTGGTAGGGAAGGTGTGCAGTATTAGTGTAAGATGGGTTCAAGGTGGGGATTGCATTAGGGATCTACAGTCCACAGAGGCCAGGCAGCAGTCTCTGTGGACTATGACATTATGAGAGAACGGAGAGCAGATGGAAGGTAACCTGAGATGTGGAGGTATGCTCTGGAGAGAGAGAGAGAGAGAGAGAGAGATTGCGAGGGAGACAAGTGATCCTGCAAGGAGCAGAGGTACTATAGGTAAATGAGTTTAAATAATTGGGATAAACACCCCACAGTGTATGAGAGGTGAAGAAGAGAGTCAAGGCAGGGTGGAGTGAGTGGAAATGAGTGTCAGGGGTGATTTGTGAGAGACACATGGCAGCAAGAGAGCAAGGTTTAGATGGTAAGGAGACCTCTTATGATATATGACTTGTAGAGGGTGGCACCTACTAAAAAAAGCAGGAGGTGCAGCTGTTTTCATTATCAGTGACCAGAACGGACAAGATCAGAAAAGAATACATCAGAGGGACAGCTTAGGTTGAGCTTTTGGAAACAAAGTAGGCTGAGATGGTGTGAGAGATGTTAAGGAGGAGAGTAGATATATTGGACAAAGGATGTATAATATGCTGCTGCCAGGCAGGAGGAAAAGACAGAGAGGAGAATCATGGATGTAGTGAAGGAGGACATGCAGAGGGTTGGTGTGCCAGAGGAGGATACTAAGTGAGAAGGAGGCAGATGGCGACTGTGATGATGTCAAAGTAGAGGAGCAGAGAAAAAGAAGGAATATGTGGGAAGCATATGAAATGAGGAATGATTGGATTCAAGTTATATGTAGATTTTGCTGTTTTTTTAGGGATCAATTTTTTTAGGATACTGTATTTATCTTAGTCGGCTCCTAAATATCAAAGAATTATCTTCCTTCCTCTCAGAGATCTTCCTTCTTATTTGCACCAGGACCCATCTGAACCCATCACAATCAGTAGACTTTTGTATATGAAAAAAAGTGATGAAAAAAATGTTCAAATTATAAGTCTTCAAAATACATATAGATGGTTGGATGTTTTACTTCATTATTTTCCAGCTTTTTTGAGCCCTCATAAATACAAGATGCAGCCATAAATATATTTCTGAACGCTCATAAGTACAATAACTAGCCACATGAAACCTTCAGGGTTGAAAAACACAGATATCAGCTATACAGTCATTACAAGTTTGTTTCAACCAAACTGAAAACCTGCAGATTTCAGGCAAAGAAAATGTAACCATTGTCCAAATCAGAAATATTACTGTCATGACAACGCATGGTTCCCTGTAATAGTTCTGAATGTTTAGAATGAAGATGTCTATTTAGATTTCATAAAGCTGAAATTGTTTTGTTTTTTTCCTGACAAATACCACATTGTGACTGTTGTTTACAGGGCACAGGGTAATTTTTTTCGAGTAGAGACATACTATCTGCAGTCTCGTCAAAGGCGCTTGCATGCGAATTCGCATGATAAGGTGGGGCCAGGTTTCACAATGAACACACCCGAAACTCTGGCTGATTGAGACCCACGCCCAGTTTCCCACCTTGGCTCAGGCGACTAGAGGATCATCAGGGGGCCCTTTTGTCCCTCTGTGGGGGGTCACTCCCACTAGGTTTATATCTGGGACTCTCCACCATTTGACCTTAGAACTGAAGAAGCTTCTCGGATGAGAGGTGAAACGTCTTCAAGCAACTTAAAGAAGTCCAGACGCTTTTCTTTGCAAGCTCCTTTGACTACGATGACCTGGATGACTGAGAACCTTCACAGACATATCTGCAGTCTCATTCCCATCCACTGCTGACTTTCCCTGAGCCTGGCTCTGCTAGAACCTCTACATGTACAAAGGGTCCGTGATTTGTTGTAATTGATTTGTTGACGTTGTGAGGTCTCTTACAAGTGCAAAGAATTTGATATAAACTCAAAAGTATCACATATTTTCCAGAACCTCCATCCCAGTTAGTGCTACTCATGACAATCAAGAGACCTGTTGCAGAAAAACTGTCTTCATAATTAAAACTAGTCTCTCTTATTTGAAGTTGAACATTGTAGGAGATTTTTACAGAACGCTCTTGCTCTTTGTGAGGACACGATGTATCGGTTTTTTCTTTAGAGCAGTAGAATAGCAAAGTATGAAAGTAAAAGAGCAGCTGTTCAATTTTTGATGGTGGACTCAGCTATATTTTTGAAAAAATCTGAATGACTTTTAGATGCCCATTCTTTTTAATAATGTCCTCCAGATATTTTATTTTTAGACTTGAAATGAACTGCAGACATCATCCTATCAATTAAAGGTGAAATATTCTAATGCAGAGTGTAGTCTGAAACACTATATGTGTACTCCTTTCTATTGTTCTTGTATAGCTGATAATTTTATCGTGGACTGCAAACTACATTAAATGTGTTTAAATGACCAAAAGTTCTCACATCTTCATTCTCTTGTGGTTATTGTAATAATTTCAAGTAAAAAGAGGGAGGAGATAATTGAATTGACCGCTCAAGAAGATGGTGGAAGGGCTGCAAAGAGAGGGTGCAGATGATGCTGGGTGCCAACCTGGATGCATGTCTTCATGTGTCAGGCTCAAGCAGGGAGAGGCTCTGTGTGCTATACACAGTATAAAACTATGATTTCATCCAGGGTTCATCGTAACAAACAACACAACCAGTCTTTGTTCACTGTCAAGCAAACACTGATGTGCTGCTGATGTTTTTCTTTTATTTCTTCAGATGTTTTTGTTTCCTCGTTTGTCTTCTGCTTTTGTTCCAACAACTACAGATGAGGACAAAATTATTAGTTGCACTATGAAAATTTCAAAAGTATTTCCCAAGAGCTGTTAAACAGAGCATGGTATTTGTAACACAGCTTTTTCAAAAGTCTTATTATGGATGCTTACATTAGTCTAGAAACAAAACTGCCAGGGTCAAAATTATTAGCCCTCCTGATGCTAATAGTCAGTTTTGTATTGTTTTTGCTGGATAACAGTCTGCAGTCATTTGTTGTAGTTCTCAGCAAGTCTCACATGTCACCTGATCATTCTTCTTTGACAAATCGCCTCCAGGTTTGATGGTCTCCTGGCATGAACCTTGGTCTTCACTTCCCCCGACAGATTTTTCAATAGGGTTCAAATCAGGGCTTTGAGCAAGCCAGTCAATAATTCCCTTTGGTCTTCTGGAGATCGTTCTTCATCAGGAGGGATGCATGTTTTCATCATGCTGGCCAGAACCAGTTTTGTTGCTGACTGCTTGAGGTGTTTTTTCAAATCTTCACATATCCTTCTTTCTTCATTAGCCCTTCTGCCTTCATAAGATTCCCAGTTCCAGATGAACTGATGCAGCCAAACGAATAATACCTCCACCACTGTGCTTCGCTGTGGGGACAATGTTCTTTGGGTTGTACCCCTCACCCTTCTTTCTCTGAACATAAGCAGCATCTTTATGGCCAATGAACTCTAGTTTAATCTCAAAAGAAAAAGAAACGCCTCCAGTCTGCATAATCTTTCTCCAGGTTGTCCTTAGCTTATCATCTTCTTTGAGACTACAATCAATCACCAGCTAAGTCATTCACTAGCATTACTGCATTTATTCTGTGGTCTTTAGACACATCTCTCTTTGAATCTTGGTACTGCTTTCTCAATTGAGAACTGAAACCTTTGGTGAAGTTTTTATACGATGCATAAATTAGAAGATAGCCCTCAGTTTTAAGTTAAAACTGATAACTTGATGTTACAAGTTTTGTTATGGTTGATGGGCAGTGGACACAGTGTTAAGAATTTTGTAGGTTCATGATTTATTTTTAGGTTTTGGATGTGATTTGTAGGTTCTAGTTCTCTGTTATTTATGTGTCTGGTTATTAGTTCCTTGGTTTGATGCTGTTAGTTCCCTTTCGTGTCCAGTCAGTCTTAGGCTTGTCTCTGTGTTTTGTCCCTAGCTTCCCTTGTATTGTCAAGACAGCAGATAATCAGATCCATGGGTGTTAGAATATAATTTGACGAGTTTATTATCCAAAGAAAACATAGGAAAACTTGGAACAATGAGCATGGGGAAACAGGCAGGCTGGCAACTGAGCAAAAGACACAAGATTAAATTAGAAGGTGGTGCAATGGGGTCCAGTGACCAGGCAGGCAGATCAGAGAAGATGGAGAGTTTAATTCATGGAGTGAGACAATCTTTACGAGGAACAACAGAAGATTTAGTCGCAGGAATATTCACCATGGCCGAATAGTGGCCTGACAATACATTAGTAGCTAACCTCTTGTGTTATTATCTAAACAGTTAACAGTCATCTTGTGCAGCTCTGAGCAGCTTCTGTACTCCTGCTATTTTTCTTTTGCTCAGTTGCTCTTTGTTCTAGATCTCTACTTATCTTTCATCTAAAAGTAAGATAATATCCATATATCTGGCAAATTATTTTATTCAAGCAGCTGAAATTTAATAAAAGTAACTAACTGTAAAGATTGACCCGACACACTGGTATGTTGTTCACGTTTGAGAGTGTTAATTGCAATATCACACGTGTGACGTCTTTATGGTTCGGCATCCGGTCCGCCAACTTTCGATATAAGAGAAGAACAATGCTCCTGAACTGCCTTTAGGTTTGGACATGAGACTCACTGATGTTGGCTGGTCTGCTCTGGTCTGCACTGAACAAGTGCAAGTGTTTAGAACACAAGAAGACTACACTGAAGGGAGATTGTCCAGTTTTAAATCAGGTAAGATTATTGCTGGTGAGATAACAATTACTGTAAACTGTGAACCATGCAAACCTTCTCTAGCAGAATCCAAGAAAGAAAGTCGGGGAGATGAATATGAACACATTTGGCATCTTTTTAAATTATTATTTAACAATTCTTGCAGGAGTGTGATTGCTCCTTTATTTCAAGACATTTTTCTCCCATGGGAAACCTTAACTTTTATTCTATAGTGTAGTTGAATCTTTAAAGACATTGGGACACCATTAAATGTCCCAAAACTTTACTTCCTGAGATTGTGATGCAGTTTTTTGTTCTCTTTGCCTGTTAAACCTTTTAATGGGCAACTCAGCCTTTTCTAAGCTTTTTCCTAATTCACTGTTAATCAGTTTTTTTTATATAGTGCCAGTTTGCTTCAACAGCTGTTTTAAGGCATTTTATATTGTAAGGCAAAGACCTTAGAATATTAAGAGGGAGAACCTCAACAATCCGATGAGGCTGTATGAGCAACAGTGTAGAGGAAAAACTCCCTTTTAACAGGAAGAGAAAGGTTTGAAAGAGAAAAGACAAAAAATGAGCACAAAGTCTTCACAGGGACCGATGACAACAAACAACTGAGTCAAAGTTTTACAAAGTACAAAATTATCACACAACTCAGTTAACTTTTTAATAATCTTAACAAGTATAGGTTCACACTCTGTTTATAACTTTGTGTTATGTAGTTTTGTACATATTCTGTGCGTGCAAGGCAAAAATAACAATGAAGGTAGAAAATAAACTCTCCTCCAGGATAAGAGGAAGGCTCGGGTCAGACATCACAGGGAGGTGAACTGAGGTCTGCTCTTATAAAACACACACACCATTCACAACAACCACCCTGAGAGAAACACAACATTTTCCTCTGATTATATAGTTTTGTTTTTAATCTAGTGACTCTGGAGAAAATTATTTAGCTGACTAAAGGAGTGATTGGATGGATATACGAATATAATATATTCATGTGATCCCACAAAAATGAGTGAGCGGAGCTTTAGTGTCCCATGTATTCAGCTGGAGATTATAAAAAGGCTTAATGTGAAAACAAGGCAAAAAGAAAAATTTAAAATACGAGACTAAAATAAATCCTTGTAATAATTTTCAGTGCATATAAATGTGAATGCTTTTTTCCACCTGTTTGGAGATACTTGTACAACCAAAATTTCTTTTAAAAAAATCAATGCAATTCAACGTATGATGCCAAACTCTGAACAGCTCAGGTCAGCTAAACCTCATAGGGTCAGCGTTAGGTGGTATTTTAGCCAAATGCAACACAAACATAGTTTCAGAAACGAGAAGATACTTTCAAATCTTTTGCAAACGTATAAACTTACTGTTGTTCTATTCCATTTGGGTACAAACAGTGAACTTAATCCTAAGTTCTAAATATAGTAGCACCAACCACCTGATGGATCTCAAGAGGTTAATTTTTAATTTTACTTGTACTTGACTAAAAGGTCTTGTGCTGTACTCCTGATTGAATGTTGTTAAAGAAGAATTTCAGCTATCCTTACATGTCCAAACTAAAGATAAGGCTGAACCGACATATGACAAATGAAAAGAAACTGGGCATGACAGTTGTATGTGAACACTGCAAAAGTAAAGTATTTCTGTTTTATGCATTTGATTTTGAACAACCCTGAACACTTTTAGTTTATGAGGAAATCCAACTCGTATCGTTCTTGACTTTTGGAGGACGAAATCAAAGAATTAAAGTTTGGAGTTCATAGCAACATTGCACAATGCCAAGCAGTTTTCACTGGGCACTACTGAGGTCCTGCAGAGATGTTACATGCTGTGTTGTGCACTGCATGG